CATACTTTCTTTTTCATCTTCTACCCAACAGTTGTCCCCTCTTTTTTGCAATGTGCCGCGCGGCATCCGCACCCATCTCCGCCGCTTTGATTGTCTTCGGGAGAGAAGCGGCGAAGAGCATGTGTCGGAAGGTGTGTGTATCCTTTTTTTCTTACCTACTTATTCTCTACCTGTTGTAATCTATATCTCTCGCGTGCGCAGCAAGGGAGTGTTTGACCGACTGACCACTTGTGATGGTCTTTCCGAAGAAGAAGAAGCGGCTTTTCCTTTTTGTCATCAGAAGAAACCACAAGTCAAAATTAATGGCATTGCGATTTGTGGGGGATGTGTCGGAAACGGGTAAAAAGTTGAAAGGAAAAATAGTTAAGAGCTAAGGAATGAGATTGCAGTGGTAGGTCGAATAAGGGACTATGAATACGGAACTTTGGATCAAGGTGGATAAGATGAATTGCTGAAACAGATAAATGTTCAAAAAAAATTGAGTTGTTACATCTAGGCCTATTTAAAGGGGGACTCCGACCAAAAATTTTTATTGCATTAAAATGTGTTAGAAGTTATCTATTTTCCGAATATTATTGCGAAAAAATTTTTTAAAAATCCGAAATCCCCGAAAAACGGCGTTGAAAAGGAAGAAAATTCAAAAAAAGGTGCCGCCGGGGGACGAGGATTTTCAGTGAGAAACCTAGGCCACGGCACCTGACAGTCTTTTTTTCAAGTCGCCGACAGTGGTTTTTTACGTTTTTTACCTGCCGGACATGAAATTGAAAAAAATCCGGAAAACTTGCCACGTAGGAAAGGCGCCCGCTGCCGTGGCCTATGTTTCTCACTGAAAATCCTCGTCCCCCGGCGGCACCTTTTTTTGAACTTTCTTCCTTTTCAACGCCGTTTTTCGGGGATTTTGGATTTTTTTTGAATTTTTTCGCAATAATATTCGGAAAATAGATAACTTTTAACACATTTTAATGCAATAAAAATTTTTGGTCGGAGTCCCCCTTTAAATGAAATGAACTCTTACAGTAATTCTAAACACAAGTTTTGCAAAAAATCAGAGACAAAATAATCTAGAATTCTCTCCAAATTTGTACAAAAACATTCATGAGAAATTGGTCATGGAATGAGAATCACATGGGGTGGAAAGTTTTGAACAGGAGTAAAATTCAAAATATTTTGACTTCCTCGTCTTGTTAGTAAGGAATTTAGTTTTCGTAAATCAACCATATAATTACTATTTAAACAAAAAACATAAACAGAAGGAAAAATGCATGATACGAATTCTCACAAAAAGTTGACGATCTGATAGGACAGTAATCATGAAAAGAAACAAAGGAAACTTGTAGAAAGTGCATTCCTTTCTTCTTTTTTTCCAGAGAACACCTGACGTTCGAATCTCTCTCGAATTTATCTTTTATCCGAACAACAGAACACCCAAACGTCTCGACGTGAGAAGATCGGAGAAAAAAGAAGAGCGTGAATAAAAATCAAGACAAGAAACCAGCTGATGGCTGGGAGGAAGAGAAGAACTGATAAAAGAAGATGATAGTGGTCAACTGAAAAGCATCTGGAGAGAGTTGTCCGCGTGAATAGGTCAGATCCGTGGCTCGCCGCCCGGAGCCGGTGCCAGGTGCATGAAGCCACCATGAGGAGACACTCGTTGGAGGGCAACAACTGTTGCGATCAGAAACACGAAACTTGTTTTGCACAGGGAAAAAAGTGAAAAAGATATCAAGAACTTTTCAAGAGACAAAAAAGTGCGTGGTTAGGTGATAGGAAGTTTTGATATGAAGGATGGAAGCTTGACGTCTTGAAAATTTGTTTGTATTGGATTCTGGAAGGGATACTCTTGAAGTTTCCAATAAATTATCAGATGGTGGAATATTGTTATCATGTTTTTCTAATCGGGAACAACGACAATCCCGAATTCGAAAACACAAAATTTGCACCAGATCATATATCTACCATAAACACTCTGATAAAACAACCCCCAAAAATTTTTAAGTTGCGTCAAATTATATCCGTCTTTGTGAAAGATATCAAAAGGTGGTTAATTGATAAAATTTTTATCATATACTCAGAAACATTTTATCAGTACACAAAATTTTGATATCTTTCACAGGAACCAAGATAAATTGACTCAAAGTTTCTCACATTACATTTTTAGGGACAAGCTTGTCTCATAACTGAAAAACTGATTTTTACACAATAAACTTGACCATTTTCTTCACAACATTTTTGTTAATGCCCAAGAGCTTTACAATAATCACGTTTTTTCAGATTGAACTTCGAATGATATTCCAGTTGTAATAACAGACACCAAATATTTCCAATCTTCACCTTTTCTTGAATGGACCTGAAACTGACCGTCAACTGTGCATGACCATATCTTTCCAACAAGTGTTTTTGTCTCTCTTCATTTGCTCAGAAGATTAGTTTTCGAGTGGGACGGAATGAGATAAATACAGTTGTACTGTTTGATTGGATTAGGGATTTGGAAGTGGATGTGTCGGTGTCTTGTTTCATGCATGGACTCGTTTATCAAACAATGGCGGGGACATAGCCCCAGGGAATGTAGGTTCTGTTTCAGAAAGTTCTCGTGAAGACTGTAAAGATCTATCAGATGTTTCTGTAGTCAAACAAACACTCCTTTGTACGTTCAAAGTTTTCTAACAATTTCATCTGTAATAAAAAAGGTCAAAAAGCTCAGTATGACCCATTCACTCAAATATAATTTCTTCGAAACCCTCAAAGTTGATCCTTTATATCTAATTTCCAGAGCAATATATCAAAAAGTGGCCAACAAACAAAATATTTTTGATATCATTATGAACATTTTATTAATTGATCACTTTTTGATATCTTTTACAGGCACCGAGATAAATTTACTCAAAGTTAAAAGAAGGGCCATTCTAATTATCATTTAACGGTATTCGTTTCAAACGACACCTTCCTCTCGTTTCATTGTCTGCAAGTACATAAACCCGTCAATTGGCACCTTTCTCTTCTCCGGTTCTCCTCCTTTTACCAGTGTTTGACCGCATACATACGAAACTTTATTCTCTACTTGTTCTTTTTCTACTTGTTTTCACACCAGTCATGTTTTGTTTACCGTCACGCCATTCAAAACGGGATAGTGGAAGCTGGCTGGTTGACTGACTGACGAGGAGCTCAACAAAGAGCATGTAGACAGAGAGTGATATTTGAGAAGCTGAGCAACGAAGTCATTGACACAAAAGAACACCTTCTAAAAAAGGTCGAGAGATTGGGGAAGAGGTAGGGATGTGAAATTGAGACTTGGTGTGAAAATTGTGCAGGGATTTTCGTGGGAATTTATTTTTAAATCATCACTATTCATGAGATAGGTCTGAAACATTAAATTTTGTAAGCATGCAAAATTTCTAAGCATGTTGTTCAGAAACATCAAACTGAGTTTTGAACATCCTGATCCCTCATTCTGCCTGTTGTGACTTTTATTATCCAAAAACTGGACAACGTTCCCAAAACCTGGTCAAATTGCTTTAGAAGCTTATCAATTTCCACAAAAAGAATGACATTGTTTTTTTAATAGAAGCCCTCTCAAGCCGTCTACTTGAGCTCAATTGTCTCTATTCCCGTGAAAGATATCAAAATTGTGTCAACTGATAAAATATTGTTGATAGTATGATAAATAAGTTATCAGTTGACGACTTTTAAATATCTTTCACAGAAATATAGATAATTGAGCTAGAAGTTGACGGTTTGGGTAGCGTTCTATTAGAGTGTTTACGGTTTCTGTTCAGCCTTGTTCCTTTTAAGTGAAATAATTCACAATGGACAAAATATTCAAAGTTCTAACATTTTCAATATTCCTATACGACTCTGCCTATCTGATTTACCTTGAATGCTCTACTAGATGCCCTCCCTTTAAGTGCACTTTGAGCTTAATTGTCTCGGTTCCTTCAGAATATATGAAGAATTTGTTAACTAATAAAATGTTGGTAATTTCCCGGCAAACATTTTATCAGTTGACAGATTTCTGATATCTCTTATAGGACCCCAGATAATTGAGCTCAAAGTGAATTTATAGCGTGGGCTTCCAGTAGAGAGAACATTTACGATACTTTTCTTCTTTACAGCTTCCACCGATGGCAAACTTATATCATCCTGATTGATGCTCATAACGAATCGTTCCATTTCTTTTCCCTTCTTCTCATATCCACAACACATGACACAGGGGTATCCATTGGTATTCATCCTTAGTTTTCATCGTCTCCTGCTGCTGCGCGGACTGCCAGAAACTACTTGGGTCCCCTTCTCTGCGTCCTTTTCAATCCCATACTCTTTTCTCTAGATTACACTTGTGTTTATACCGAACATGAGTTAGAGGTATACGAGAGAGTATGCGATCCAGAGAGACAGCCATACACATAAATGAGAGCTACTGACTGCATGTGGTGTGCGCGGATTGTTAGTCGTGGATGGATGGATGGATGAGGAGAGGGATCACTCTCACGGAAAAATAGATGAGCAATCACTTTTTGACAGTCTACCCAAGAATCGAGAGTATTCGGCTGCAGATTGAGGGAGGGATCTGAAAGTTTGATCGCAAAAAAAAACAAGGCTTGCTCTTCCAAGTGTGCAGTTTATTAGAATCAAGAGTGTGGGGACAGGGGTACAGTATAAGTTATCAAACAGTCACCAGGGAAGGAGGTGATAAACAATTCAAAAAACAATGAATCCGGGAGGACAAGGAACAAATTTTAGTGGGAAAATTGGTGAGATAGGAAGAGTGAGCGAAGAGTAAGAATCGGAAAGCTCGAAGGAGATCGTGAACGATGCTCTGTTGAACTAACAAGAATTTCAGGTGCATGGAGAAAAAGGTAGCGAGGAAAACCAAAAGAAGATCAAGAGAAACCGAAAAATAGTGGAGAGAGGTGGGTTTAGATGAGAGGCATATGATGAGGTAAGGAAGAATCAACTGGATAGGGGTTGTACAGATACAGAGGAGAGCATCAGACATGGAAAGTTTAGGAAAGATGAGAGTGAACAACATGAACAGAATCTTTAAGCATTGTATCTTGTCCTCCCGCAATGCGTCTCATCATATCCATAATTCCTGTTTCTGCAACCGTAGTAAGGAAATTCCTGGTTCCAACAGCAAGTCTGGAAAATGGAACCGGTTATGAAGAAGGTAAAACATTTATCTCATAGTTGCAAAAGGCCGGGCCGGGCCGAGCCGGGAGACGAATTTAGGCGGGCCAGGGCCCGGCCCGGCCCTGGCCCGCCTACCACAGTTGAAAATTTTCCAATTAAAATTTGGGTAGTTTTTTCTTGAATTGAACAAGAAAAAAGTTACATTATTTAACAAAATTAACAAAGTAGAAAGTAGTCGAAAAATAGGTCGTTTTTCTTTAAATTATTGAAAAAATTTCAGAATTTTCGAAGAAAAATCAAAAAAATCAACGTCTGTATGTACCCCGGCCCAGCCCGGCCCGTCGAGAATTTCGACCCGCGTGCCGGCCCGAGATTATATAACTATGATTTATCTTACCTCTGGCGGTGTTCCAAAATGGCGCAACCTCTCTTGGCACACTCTGCGGCAATATAAAGAGGCACTGGAATGCTGATCGGGCTCTTTATGATCTGATGTTCGTGGCACAGGGTGTTGGTGAGCCCCTCCACCCATTCCATTTTCACCGGTCTGTTGGAATATACCACTGTGTACTTGACTGGCTTTGCAGTTCCTTGAATGGCCTTCGCTCCCACATGGTAGAACTCGTTGAAGACCGGCGAGACGATAGTGGTGTCGACGATAGTTCCGATTGGCAGGTTATGAACTCCACGCTAAAAAAGAACAATTATTGGTCGAAAAACTTCGCATTATGACTCACACTATCCAAATACAATCTTTCGTTGTGAGTCTTTGAAGCCGCCAAAATGATTAGCTCCGGTGCATAATCTTTTCTGAGACTTTGGAAAGTTTCGATGCATTGTGGAGCATAAACTTCATTGACCATTGCAAGCTGACCCTCGCTGATTCCGTTAAAATAGATGACGACTTTCTCCGCTCTCATATTTCTTGCTCGTCTCGCTTTTTGTAGACTGTGACGGAGGGTTTCGTGTATGATGGTGGAGAACGTCTGCAAAGTAATCATATACTGAAGAAGTTCAATTATAGAATCTAAGCTCGCCTCGTCGGTTCTTTCAACAAACTTGTAGGAGCCTGCAAATTTTTGTGGATGATCCATAAAATTTGATGCGTAGCCAACGGTAGTGACCTCCTGAAAGTCAAGGCATAACAAGAATCCCTAAATTGAAAACTCTTACCGAGTCTCCCAATTCTGCGTTTTGGAGAGCGAGTATCCCATGATGAGGAGGTTCTCCTTGTCCAAGTAGTCGTTGACCACTTTGAAGTTGAGACCTCCTAACTTCATATTCATCTTTTGGATAATGTTCGCTCTCGTGTCCCTTTGATGGCGCATTTTCAGTGCAGTCTCCTTTTTGACATACTGCGTGAAATGTCGTAATACTGCTCACATACCTTTACTTCCGTTTGGTAGTCAATGGAGGAAGGAATGATGAATAGGAGGAACTTGATGCCGTTGTCTTTTGCCTCTTGGAAAAGCCGATGAATCTGGAACTCTCCTTGAAACTGGTTGTCGGGTTCCAAATACATGATGCGGGGTTCATCGAAGGCCATTCCGCTTCTGTGCATCTCTTCGAAGAGGACATTCTCGGCGTTCCTGGAAAATATTATTATGACTGAAAAATTTGCCGAATGGCTCAGTTTAGCTGCGGTGTCATTTTTGTGGACACCAAGATAAAAAATGTTAAGAGAACTGCCACTGCCTTGTTTTCCAATTTACGACTACTGAAATTTTGAAAAAAAAACGCTCACCTGACAGTTTGGTATGGCAGAAATACGATTCCCCATTTCTCCTGCCTCATGGCATTGTAGAATCCTCCACAATTCTGGACGATCGGATCCTTGAGTACGATTCCGGATACAACGAGGGGCTCTGTGATTTGTAAGAATCCGGATAAGTCCCGTGGCACCAATCCTACAGCAGCTGCCACGTTGTCTGTGGTTTGGATTCTTTCATGCGGCTTCGCTGCTGACCTCTGCAAGAAAAACAATTAATTGAAGAGATTTATTCAACTGTGTACTTACTCGAATGACGGCACTTTGCTCTTGAGGAGTCATTTGCTGGCAGGTGACCTTCTGATTCGGGATGACACGAAGGAGTTCTGGTGGGTAGTATCCGACTCCACCAGATTGGACAGTAGATTCGATCGTCCACAGTTCGGTCAATTCCAGCTCAACGTTGTATCGGTTGCGGAAGTACTCGTAGACATTGGTGAGCGTTCCATCCGGCAATTGAATTCCTGGTCCATCGGCTTCCTTCCGAATCCTCGGATTGGAATCGTTTTCGCGTCGTTCCCATCGCGTGCATGCTTTCCGTAGCTCAGCAATACACGGAAGTTCTTCAGAGCTTTCAGCATGTTCCTCGCGACCACGTCATTCCGATCCAAGTGGTAGTGGAATCCTTGGAAAGTTCGGAAATAGTCAGCAAGGGTCATGTGGCTTCTTCCAGTATGGAAGAGAGAGATTCTCACTGAAAAATTAAAATTCAGGGATAGAATTTTGGGTCAATGTAAAATACAGTATTTGCTCTAATAGAAGCTCACCGAATACGTGCAGTTTGAGCTCAATTATCTCGATTGTTTCGAGAGATATCAAGAACTTATCAACTGATAAAATATTTGTGATGTTATGAAAAACAACTTATCAGTTGATAAATTTTTGATATCTCATATAAAAATTGAGATAATTAATCTCAAACTGCACTTGTAGGGTGGGCTTCTGGGAAAGCAAATGCGGTAAGTCATATATTCTCCAACCTATGTTGATTCAAAAACTAAAACTCACTGTCATTGGACATGAAGACTCCTTGTTTCTCGAATCCTTCCATCGTTTTCACTGCTCGTGTTACTCCCAGCAACGATGATCGATCTCCATTTGGGAACCAAATAGCTTCCTGAGCTCCCATCACAGGCCGGACACTGTAGTGAGTAGTGCCGTTCACCGTGATAACGTCTGGACTGAAATGAACATGTTGAAGACTTGCTGTCAGACTTCCAACACTTACTTTGCCTTCGGTCCATCAGCGAGGATCGTCGTGATGGCCTGATGGAGGCGCTTGTCGGCGTCGGCTGGAGCGAGTGTCGCCGTATTCTCTATATCGTTGGTCGAGAGCTCCTTGGCGACCTCGATGGGATACAAGACGAAGTCGGCCTTGATGAAGTTGCTCAAGTTGGTGACACCTTCATAGATGGTGAAAGACAATTTCTGAAAACGAAAAAATCTATTGAGATCTACAGCCTATGATTATCTTACCTCCGTGTTCAACTGGGAGAGGCTCCAAAGACTATTCTGTGAGTCATAGAAGAATGGTCCGCCTGTTTGGAGTTGCGGGTAGTGCTCAACTGCTCGGCGGTAGACTCCTCGGCACATTGCTAGATCCCTCTGGTAATCGTCTCCTTTGCGTCTGGAGTTGGACATCTCGACTCGGAACTCTCCTTCGGGTGTTTGGAAGACATAGTAGATAGCCACCATATACTGATATATGGTGGTATCTGGCTTCAAGACTAAAAACTAAGACTGTAAATGAAAAAAAATTTGTTGCGAGGATACAGTTAGCTTACGGTGAGATGTACCGTAAATGCTCTAATAGAGGTCGGCAATTTACGTGCATTTTGAGCTCGATTATCTCGGTTCCTTCGAAAGCTATCAAAAAGTAGACAACTAATAAAATGTTCATCATATTTTCAAAAATATTTTGTCTGTTGTGCACTTTTTGATATCTTTTCAAGGAACCGAGATAATTGAGCTCAAAGGGGGGGGGGGTTGGCATATATTAGAGCATTTAGAGCATACTTGTAACGGGCCGGGCCGGGCTTTTTCCCGAATTTCGAAGGCCCGGCCCGGCGGGCCTGTCATTCCAAAAGTCTTTAAAATTTCAAAAAAAAGGGAGACCCTTATGTGATTTTTTTTCGATCAAAAATTTTTTTTCGAGTTTTTTTTTGATATTTTTTGATCAAACAGACAAACAATCCAAAAAGCACAAAAAAATAGAAAATTGTATTGAGAGCTCAAAATTCGGTTCAAAATGACAAAATTTTTGCTACCGGGCCTTCCGGGCCGGGCCCGGGCCTTGAAATTTTCCTCACAAGGGAACCATGATTAGCCTTCATCTCAGAATTTTTTCTAAATTTGCTCATTTATAGTTTCAAATACGGGCGGGCTTTCATTTGATGTATTTGGTTTTCTGCACAAATTTCTAGAAGTCGAGTTAAGGGCTGTTTAAGTGATTTCAGTACTAATTTCTCACTTTTGGAGTGAGTTTTTGAAAGGGTTAATGGGAGTTTTTTGGCATTGTTTGAGTGTCAATTGCAATTTTAAAGGTTTCTCTACAATCTGGCAAAGTTTCCTCATTTTTCAAAAAAAAATGTTGAAAAATTTTTTGCCATAAAAATTTATGCCCCCCTTTGCGAAATTTTCAATTTTTCGAAAATTTTTTTAATGTGCTAAAATGAATTCTAAACGCATAAAAATGATAAAATGAGTCTTTTCGCAAGATTCTGTAGCCTATATCCTTTGAAATCCGAAATAAGTGATTTCTTCCAAAACTCCAATGAATCGTAGTCCTTCGAAAATCACTCAATAGCACTCAAGTATTGTGAAAACATAGATTTACATACTTCTTGACTGATTTATGACAGTTCCGCAACCAATATGATCAAATAGGGGGATTTCGACTGACATTTTGAGTAGATAAGGCTTTTCAGCAGTGCTTCAAGAATTTTTCAGAAATTATCTTTTTCGAGTTTTTTTCCTACTGAAATAATAGATCAAACATAGTTTTGATTTTCGAAAAGTTCAAAGCATTCCTCCAACATCAAAGAAAAAAAAAAGAAAAAAGAAAATGGACAGTGTCGGAATCGAACCCCAAACTAGTTGTGATTACTATTCATCCCCACTACACAGATCCTGGGCGATGATGCGCATAAAGGACCCAATCCATATGCGATCCTCTAGAAGTCCGTTTGACACATATTGCGAACAACGAGCTGCGATGAGTCTCATATGTGTGCGATGCGGGAGAGGCTGAATCGAGTGTTCCGAATGCGCGCGTATCCTAGATAGATTCTGGGTGGGTGGGCGATGTGTGCGATATGGGTCTGATACGGTAGGCCGACTACAACACTCCGAAATCCCGGATGCGCCCATTGTTTACCGTAAATCCACACCGGCAACTTTGTCAATTTTTCGTCAATTCGAGCCTACATTTCTGGTTTTTCGATTATTCCTTCGATGTTTTTTGTGAAAAAGAGTTATGACAGAATAAAAAATCACTGAATTCTTGCAGAAACATGTCTTTCACTCGTTAATTGCTATGTTTTTCGCCAAAATAGGTGATATTGAGATTTTTTGATTCCACTTTGTAATTATTGTAAAAATCGTATTTTCAGGTGGAGTAAAAGGTAAGTTGGTAAGCATACAATAATTACAAAGTGTAAATTATAAAAATTTCCAATTTTTCATGCAATTTCGAAAAAAAGAAAGTGAGACATATTTTTTGAACAAATGAAAAAAAAACAATTTTTAGCGAATTTTTTCCCATTTTGTTCTGTTTTTGATTGCATATCAAATTTAAATGGAAACTGCCATAAGTCTTTTTAAAAACCAAAACATTGAGTTTCGAAAAATCAGTAATATGTCGTTCAAAATATAAAAAAATATGGAATAATAAAGGAAAAGTACGAAATCGGAAGACCTGAACAAAATCACATCACAATAGAACTTAACTGATACTTATAGGAACCCCCAACCAACGTTTTAGTTCATTTCATCGAGTGCCAGCAAGCCAGGCGAGGAGATGCTTTGCGGCGGCGGTGTGCCCCATATGCCCCGTATATGCCCCATACCGGCGTCCTTTCCCTGTACCCAATTCATCGGCGCGTCCTCCGTCGCCAATCCATTATGCGTATGCGCGCCCAGGACCTGTGTATCCACTCGGCCACTGTTGCTCGTTTCTTCCGCAGTGGAGAATGTGTAGAGGAAAGGAGGGAAAGTGGAAGGGAAGAAGGAGACCAAAAAAACAGCATATTTTCAGATGGATTTTTCTCGGCTTCTAGAAATTTATGCAGAAAACCGAATACACCACGAGAAAGTCCGTATTTGAAACTATCAATGAGCAAATTTAGAAAAAATTCTGAGATGAAGGCTAAACATGGTTCCCTTGTCAGGCCCGGCCCGGAATTTTACAAGTATGATTTAGAGTATTAGTCTCACACAATGCAAATCTCAAAGCTTGGCAAAGTAGCATCATAAGCTAACCAAAGTCATTTGGCGTTATCATCTTATTTTTTGTCAGCGCTTGTCAAAAATATTCCCAATTGTCTAGTTTATGGAATAACACTCACTATCAGACAAGAATGAACTTCCTGCCGCTGTCCTGTCACAGGATCTTTCTCACGTAAATGCAATACCTTAATCGACCGGCAGGAACTTCATATTCGTCTGAGAATGGGCATAACATGGAAAAGTTACCGCGATTTTTCAAAAGGAGTAACCAAAAATCACTCACCGATCTCACGAACGTTGGTCCGGACTTGGACGATCTCAGCATCTTGACTGCAATGAGAAACAAGCTTCGGAGCCAATGGAACGGTCCCATACTTGTTCTTCTTGCTTCTGGTACCATTTGTGTAGGCTGAGCCATTGATGGATTCTGCTTCTTGAAGGGATAGTTCCCCAAGTTTCTCATGAATAGACATTTTTTGTATCTGTGAAAAAAAAACCATACACGTTGTCAGAGAGAAAGAGAATAGACAAAAAACCAACGAAAGGAAAAGTTTTAAAAAGTTTGGAAGTCAGAAAAATAGGTAGTCCAATAAAAATTTTGACAAAGATGAAGTGATGGTTCTTTTCAGTCAAACAAAAATCATTTTCTTCTTTTTCAACAATAAACTGAGAGTTGAGAGTTGGTGGTTTTGAGAGTGAGAGTTGAGTGTAAGAGTTAGTGGTTTTGAAGTAATAATTGAGTGTTAAAGGGGGACTCCGACCAGAAATTTGTATTGCATTAAAATGTGTTAAAATTTATCTATTTTTCAAATATTATTGCGAAAAAATTCAAAGAAAATCCGAAATCCCCGAAAAACGGCGTTGAAAAGGAAGAACATTCAAAAAAAGGTGCCGCCGGGGGACGAGGATTTTCAGTGAGAAACCTAGGCCACGGCACCTGACAGCCTTTTTTTCAAGTCGCCGACAGTGGTTTTTTACGTTTTTTACCTGCCGGACATGAAATTGAAAAAAATCCGGAAAATTTGCCACATAGGAAAGGCGCCCGCTTCCGTGGCCTAGGTTTCTCACTGAAAATCCTCGTCCCCCGGCGGCACCTTTTTTTGAATTTTCTTCCTTTTCAACGGCGTTTTTTGAGAATTTCGGATTTTTTTGAATTTTTTCGCAATAATATTCGGAAAATAGATAACTTTTAACACATTTTAATACAATAAACATTTTTGGTCGGAGTCCCCCTTTAAAGGATCAAACTGGCTAGGAGTAATACAGGGCAACCTAATGCGGCGAATTTGAATTTTTTTTTTGTAAATAAGCTCATTATCACCAATAATCAACATTCGCGGAAGCGTGCAAATCAGTTAGAGAAGAACCGGCTGACAACTAGAAGAGCAGAGGATGGATGGTAGTTGTTCTGCTCTAGTTGTTTTTTTACTTGCAAAACTTTTGTTCTTCCCACGCCGTGTTTGTCACACATGTCAGCTCCAGACACTGGTCATAATTAGGAGTTCTCATGTAGAAACTACATAGAAAATTAGCAGAGGTAAAATTTCAGAAATATTTTTTTCTCTATTGTTCGAACCGCCCATAAAGTGCAATTTTCGAGGATACCGTATTTGCTCTTGTAGAAGCCTACCCTATGTATGTACTTTGAGCTCAACTATCTCGGTTACTTCAAGAGATATCAATCTTTTGTCAACTAATAAAATGTTTTTCGTAAAATTACAAACATTCTATCAGTTTACAGACTTTTTATATCTCTCATAGGAACCGAGATAATTTAGCTCAAAGTGAACGTACAAAGTGAGCGTGATAATAGAGCGGCTACGGTAGAACCATGTTAAGCGCTATTTCTTTTTCAAAAAGTCAAGATTTTGGCTATTTTCTGTGCTAGAACCTAATTATGAAAGATAAAGCTTTTCGAAATTTCCGGTTTCTAGACTATCCACTAGAGTTGAGCGGAATAAAACATTTTGAAAATCCGGACAAAGGAATATGGGAGAAGGAATGAGATGGAAAAATCCGGAAGGCGGAAGAAAGACGACGGAACATAATTTCAAATTCAAAAGAAGGGATAAAGAATACGGAACGAAAAAAAAACACTCGAAAGAATGAAGACGGAACAAGGAACAAGAAACTAAATATTGAAAAAAATCGGACTTCATGCTCAAAGAAAGCCAAACTCGTCCAAACCGATCAACGATTTTTGCAGTCATTTTTACCCAGTCATCGCCTAAAATATCCTGACTAAGCAAGATAAGCTGCGTCTCCTAGGACACCTTTTTTGAGCAGAGCGGATTGCACTCGATCAAACATGTAGTTTCTCAGACGCATAATCTTTCTGAAGCCTATTTAGATCTGTGCATAATTCTTTTTGTGAATTGGGCATTCTGCCTTGCTGGGTGCGAATTGGACAAGGGTTGACATAGATGGAAACCGAGAACCTTTTGAATCAGGCATAACCACCTTTCCCATACAGATACCGTAAGTAGAAAGCCCCCAAGTAGAAAGCCCCCAAGCAGTAAACTTTAAGCTCATTTTTCTCACTTCCTGTAAGAGAAGGCCCGAAGTAGTCCATTGATAAAAGGTTTATCATGATCTCGAAAACATTTTGTCAGTTGACTACTTTTTGATATATTTTACAAGAAATGAGCTACCAAACTTTTACGAGCTTTCTCTAATATAGGCCCATGGGTAGGCACCACAACAAAATTTTCAAAATAGACTTTTCCCAGTTTTTATTGTTGGATTGTATTCTCCTACTTTATAGAAGTCCATTCCCAAAATTTCAGGGAAAAATCTTCATTCAATCCCGAGTTACAGCCCCTTTTATACCAGACCTCAATGTACTGAATTTCTCCTCATTTTTTTGCGGTGCGCAGAAAAGTGGGCGGGGCTTAGCTGCGGCGCGGTTTCATTGTGGCGCTATTCCGAGCGCTGTTTTTTCATCAAAATCGCATCATGGTTTGTCGGAAAAGCAGTTTTTAGGGTAAAAAAACGAAAAGAATAAGTTTATAACATTGAAAAAAGGAAAAAACCATTGAAAAAAGGAAAAAAAACAAAAAACCCCATGGGAGATGCGAACTTCGGTCTTCAGATCGGTGCGCGCGCCCACTAACCAGTCTGCCACCGCTGCACTTCCCTTGGAAGCAATAGATGAGAGTGAGGAAAGGACGACTTTTCATTGCCTGCCGTCTCCTTCCGGTGTTGCCTCTTTCCTATTTTTTACAAGTTGTTCCATGATAGATAAGGAAACAGACGTATAACACATTAAGGGCGTCGATAGAATTTTTTAATTATAATTGCTCTTAGTGGCAAATTTTGCTTATGGTGAAAAGAAAATCGGTGGCGCTCACCTGTGTCACCTTCAAAACTTCCAAAAACTGAAAATTTTGAAAGTTTGGAATTTTCGGATGAGTATCAAAACTACTTAGAGGTATCCAATCTTTCTGAAAATTGGCAGAAGTATACACAAGACTTAGTTTTACCATAATATGCAAAAAAAAATTGGGGTCATCGCTGAAATTTTTTATTTATTTTAGCTGGAACTTTGGCTGAAAATTGTGAAACAAGGGCGTCGTTAGAATTTTGATTTTATTTCAAAATCCAATCCCCCAGTTCAAAAACTATCAGAATCCATTAAAAAATCTAATGGCGCGAACTTCCATCCAACACTTTTAGTCCACTTTGTCAGTCCCACTTCTATTTTTCGAAGTTTTCGAATCAAAATAATAAAGTTATCGAAGAACTGATAATTTCATTGGATTCAGCGTAGTCGATTACATAGGGACAAGTTCTCACCAAAAAAATAATGGGTTTCTAACGCCCGGTACAAGCCTTCAAAGATGGATTTCTGAAAAGGGGAGAAAAATTTGGTCGCCCCGCCCCCTTTCATTGCGGTGCCTACCCATGGGCTTCTATTTCTCAACCGTCTTGTCAGGGCGGAGTTCTATTAGAGAAAAGGATTCAGATGGTTTGAAATTCTTAACTGAGCAGGAATATTTAGAAAACAACAAGAAGGTTTCAAATAGAGGTGAGTTTCTATTAGAGAAAATACGGTACATTGGCTCTTTTGAAAGTTAGGGGGATCATTCTTTCAGAGAACTTTTATTCAAAATTTATTCAAAATGAAAGAAAAGGAATAGATAAACAAGTATTAGGAAAGAAGACATCCCGCTCCCTCTGGTTCTCTCGTCCTTTCATTATAGTTGTAGGTCATAGTGGTAAAAAAAAGAGATACGATTAGAAAAAACACAGTATGTGTGAGATTTTTCAGAGAGATACGAGGAAATTATACAAAATGGACATGTTTCCCTTTTTTTGACCACCCGCATAAATCAGAAAGAGGTGAAGAGAGAGAGAGGGAGAGAGCGACAATGGAAGACGGCACGGACAGAGCACAGAAAACGAGTCAGAAAGTATACAAGACCTCGAAAACACGTGTTAACTTGCCTAGAATTGTTGTTTGGTATGACTGGAGAGATAAAACCTACAATTTTGATGTAAACGTAATTCTTGGACTCTTGGTCTCTGGTAGAGAACGTGTGTCTATTTCAGACAGGTGTAAAGAGGGATTTCAAAAAAAAAGAAGCGAAAAATGAGATAAAACGATTTAGCTGGAATTGGATTAGACTAATCAGTAATGTGTTTCTGTTTAGTGCTTTTGAAACACCCAGATTAAAAAAAGCATGGAGAGGGCAGACGTTGAAAAATGTATTTATTGTTGCGGAGGGAAGAGTGAAAAGATATATAAGTTCTCTTTGGAAACAACACAAAAGAGCGAGAGAGTGTGTGTCTGTCTGGGTGTGTTTTCTACCTAGAGAAGAGTCAGATTCTCTCTCGGCAACTAAAATAAAATGCGGAAAATGACCTTTGAATTTGAGGATTTATTACCGCAATAAAAGGGAATACTGGACGGGGTGGGCTTAACACTGATAAGAATATCTTTCACGAAAACATGTAAACCTATTTAGCCAACACACAGCAGAGACGTGCATCGTCCATTTTGACTCCGCCCCCTAGGCAATACCTAAAGTGCAGCGCTATTGCCAATGGGGCGTGTCATAGGAAAGGGAAAATATTAGGCCTAAAATTTGGATTTGAAAGTGCATTAAAGCGGAAAGATTGGGATTTTTGCAACTTTTTCGTGAAGAGTAAGAATAGATTAAATTAAAGACTTGAGGAGGGAACTAATTCGAAGAAAAAAATGTGGAAACCAGAAATTTTGTTTATTGGGGTATTAGGTCTGGATCTTGAATAGGCCGAAAGTGTTCCTCTCGAGAAGAGGGCAATTCTCATAAATGACAATCCCTCCGTTGTGGTTGGAAAACTGAGTAACAGTCTAAATCGTTGGTATTAACTAGTAAGAAAGTTGTGCAATACCATCCGTGAAAGGTCAAACAGGTAGTATCAAACGCAACACTCCGAGAAAGAGAGAGCAGACGACACTTTTAGCTGGTGAGAACGTGTATATCGTGCATGGACCACTTGTGAATCATAACCGATGAGAAAAAGGTCACTAGGGAAACAGGAAGAGGAATAATGAAAAAGCATTATTATTATTATTATTATTATTCGTATGATTTTTACGTAGGATTCGTAGACTATGTTTCAAAAATTGATGCTTTAATGGATTGAGAATTCTAAGCCATCGAAATCAATTCACTAAGAGATCTGTTTCAAAACTTCGATGAATCGTAGTTCTTTGAAAATTACATAGTAACACTTAAAGCTTGTGAAAACGAAATTAAAAACTGATCTTTGCATTTGAGAATTAAAGGGACTATTAGACGGGTTGGTTGGCTGCAACCTCAACCTGATGGAATATTTTTTCGAAAACAAGTGAATCCACAGAAACAGCCTAGGCGCACACATCGTCGACTTGGACTCCGCCCCTAGGTCACACCAGAAGTGCGGCGTTGTTGCTAAAGGGTCGTGTCATGTCTTAAAATTTGTAAATAGATTGGATTAAGCCTTGAGGAGTGAAAACATTGGAAGAAAATATCGTTGGAAACCAGAGATTTTGTTTACTTTTTTGTACATTAGGGTGTTTAGTCTGGAGCTTGACTAGACCGAAAGTCTTTCTATCGAGAACTTGGTGATTCTCATTTACAATAATCCGTCATTTTTAGTTAGGAAGCAGAGTAACAGTCTCAATGAGAGAGGGGTGTGCAATACCATCCGTCAAAGGTCAAATATAAGGTATTATCCGCCGGTCGGCATAATACTCCGAGAAAGAACAAATGACTGTTTCAGGTGACGAGAGCGATTATGTTACATCATGGACCATTTGTGAATCAAAACAGATAGGAAAAAATGTCGGTAGAGGAACAGGAAGAGGAATAACAGAAAAGCGTATAATTCATAGAGTTTTGTCGTATTCGTAGACCACGTATCGTCAACTCAAAAAATTGCGCCGAACTTATAAACAACAAAAGTGGATACTGTAGACTAGGCTCCGCCCCTTTTAATGTTTCACGGGAACAGTGCGCCGCACTAATGGTAAACAAAAATGGGGGTGGGACTTAGTTGTTAGTAGACTCTGCAAATTTTCGGCACGCCAGGGCACAGAGGGGCACAGGATCCGCATCCAAACGGCACCGTGCCGCGTTGAAAGTGCCCTTGGAACACCGCACCCGTGCCCCTAGCAAGCATGTGGCGTGCCGCAACCGTGCCCTTTCTTGAACCACCTGCGCATATCATCTCTATCCATAGAGTTTCGAAAATGTTGCGAAAATAGCTTGTCATTCATTTTCATAAATTTTTGTACTTTTCACCGTTTTATGGCATTTGGTTTTGTTTTTCTAAGCTTTCAGTTGGAAAATCATGAAATATATTTCTGTTTAGGTTTCAGACCTGCCTGTACCAGATGTCCCGTTGGAAGAGACACCGAAGGAAAATAGGTGAATTGAGAGATGTTCAAGTAATAATGATGTCGGAAATCTTTTCAGTTATAAAGACGAGAAGGGAAGTCGTCAAACCGTGGGGGGATACTGAAGAAGAAGAAGGTATTTTACGACCAACAAGATGAATATCATAAATTAAATATGTAAGTGGGCGAGATGTGAAAAACTGAACTATTTTGAAATGACAGTGTTCAAAAAAAATGTTCGAAAGGTTAATGTTAATCCCTATGTTTTACAGTTCCGCTGATCTTTGGTGAAAACGTGCCAGACAACTTCCGATGGATTTTCGGGAAGGCAATTCGTCCAAAGAAATGTGAGTTTTCATCCAATTAGTTATGTAAATAATCTTTAAAGTTCTTTCAGAAACACCGTGCCAAGCCCAACGCCAATAAAGCTGGAGAAGAGGAGTAGGAAAGTTACTTTCATCGAAATTCGACATCTTCGACACAATCTCTTCTACAAATTTAAATGATCGTTTTTCTTTCTTTTTTTATTACTCTTTTTTAGTATTTGTATTTGAATAAACTGTCCAATTTAAGGAAAATCTCGTGATTAATTGATCTGATTTTGAAGAAAGAATTTAAAAAAAACAAGGCACACATGAGCACGGCAACGGCACGGCAGCGGCACGCAAAACGCACGCGTGCCCCAACCACCCCCCCCCCCCCCCCCGGGCACGATTACCGCGTTGCAGCGGCACCGGTGCCCCAAGTAGCGGCACATGTGCCAAAAATTTGCTGAGGACACCTCGATTGCTTACGCTTTTTTTAAATAGACAATACCAAAATATGCTGTATTGATGCATAGTTTAGAGTGAAGTTGGTAAAAACTGGAAGCCAAGGAATTTCTTGAATGCCAAGGTGTAGAAATGCCCACGAGTTTTTTCGAAGGCTGCAATTATCTCAAGCAAAAAGAGCAACGCACCCGACACGACTCGTCCCCTCTTTTTCGTCGAATATTCAAAACAAGCCTCGATTGCATCATAATCAGAAGGACTTCACTGATAGAGATGTAGAGAAATACAGGAAGAGGTAGTTTCCTTCCTCATAAGTATAAATACATGTGCTGGTCAGTTTCCCATTCTTCATTATTCGATTAGGACTACTGTAATGAAATGGGGTACTGAAATGGCTCTCCGCAATGGGAAAAAAAGTCGTAAATATGGGAGAAAAACGGCATTTTGTTCAAATAAAGTGCAATTGTTTGAAAAAGAAAGCGAACTTTGATCAGGGAACTTTTGAATGGGAAAAATAGGAATTCCGAAGATATACGAAAGGATTTTCAGAAGACGTCAGATTCGAAATTTTGAGAGAGAGGAAAAAGAGCGTGGGAATTTCAGATGTACGTTTTCTGCTACGAAATGGGAAGAAGGTGCGGCATATACATATTCGAGTACAGCGTTTGGGGATTGTTGTCATTGGAACAGAACAACGGAACTCTGAAGTTTGAAAATTCCGAAGTTCCAGTTTTGGAAGATTTGGAATCTCCGAAATTAAAATTTTTAGATGGCGAATAAAATTTGAAAATAGAAACATTGAAAAAAAACAATTACCTTTTTTCTCTGTTCCTCTTTCTTTTCCTCTATTACTTAACACTTTATCAGTGCGGTGTCTAGTTTGATAAGAAAACAATATTCATTTTTTCCCGCCATGCAGTAGGTGCATACAGGTTAATTCAAAATTGCGTTCTTCAAGTATTTATTTGACAATGAAACAGATTGGTTAATGATATAAGTGAAAATATGCAGAAGATAAAACTGGGGACGTTAACTATACAAATCTAAAAAGGTGCAAATGGAGAATCAATCAGGTAGTGTCTGCATTTTCCGGATCGGAAATGTTTCGCGGAAATCGAATGAAGTTTTTCTTTTGAGAATGTGTCTCTGGAAATGCCAACTGGATCATTTTGTCTTTCGAGGGAAAATTGAGCTCTGACAAAGTTCGGACGTCGGGAGATCCCTTCAGAGATAGTGAATGAGCAATTCTGTGAATTCGATGATTTTTAAATGTATGAAAATCACAAAAAATACCTCTTCCAAGATTTCATTGAAGCTGTAGAGAGTTGACTGACAATTATATACGAACTTTCCTTCTTGACCAAATCGGTGCATAATATTTCGGTAGAGATGAGCGCATCGTTTCTTAGCCTGTTCTAGTAGAGTTCCTTTTGATTTTGAATCGGAGAACTCAATAGTTGCTTCTTGTCCAAATTCTATAGAGTAGGTGTACTTTACAGAGACTTTGTACTTGAAGAGTGGAGCTGAAGGAAGTGGTGCTGAAAAAAATATATGATAAGTTTTTCAAAATCTGAAAAGAAGTCTTACCGGAAGTTGTCGTTTTTGGAATGTTAGAAACGTTATTGCCGTTGGAATTGACTTTTTTCGTGTTGTTATTATTAATGTGAGTAGTTGAATTTGGGATTATGCACCTCGAACCGAATTCTCCACCAAAACTCTTTCGGATCGAAGACCCAGCCTTAGCTTGATACCCCAGTAACATCATCTCTGGAAATTGAATTTCAGGTTAACTTCAGGTTAGAAAAAAAGAACAATCATAACGACAAATAAATTGAGAACAGGCATTAATCACAATCAGAGAAACAACGAAAATCATTGTTTTCAGAGACATTCCTTTCGACGTAGATCAAACGTTAAAATACTTTCAGTAGGTCTAGAACCTTCGGTAGATCATTCAAAAATATACAGATAAGGAAGCTTTAAAGCTTTATTTAAATTTAAAAATTTAGAAAAAGAAGGTTCGAATGTCTAAAAAATCGATATATAATCAAAGAAGATTCCTATTCAAAAAAGCGCGTCGACTCATAGCTCTCATAGCTTTTCGCTCATATTCCCATATCCGTATTTGGCATTGGTCTCGGCCAGATCTACCTCTCCATCCTCCATATAAATTGGTCTGAAATTCAGAAACTACTATAACCAACCATAATTGAAACTACTTACCCTCCGTTATCAATCAAAAACTGTATCCCTTTGCTGGCTTCTTTCTGCGCCATGTCCAATGGAGCTGGGACGTTGATTAACTCCGACTTCAATTGATTCCAGTAGCACAAGTCGTTGGTTAACTGCTCCAGATGCTCCATATCCACTGGGTCGGATGCGTATACTACAGTATACTTCGCAGGCTTTACTGTGCTCTTGTATGACGTGGATGGCCCAATGTGGTAGAATTCGTTGAAGACCGGGGAAACCGCGGTGTGATCGATGATAGTTCCCGGCTCTGGATTCCAAATGAGACACTGTAATGAACAGATTTTCAACGACTTCTATTTCAACTCTCACCTTGTCATCGATTTTATAGAATCTTTCGTTGTGCTTCTGAGTAGCCACAATCATCGTCGTTTGAGGGTTATATTCTGCACCCATCTGACTGCATGCCTCGGCACAACTGGGCTCATAATGATGATCTATGCGCCAGAACTCTTCTTCCGGAACTTCATCTAGATAGATGATCAACCTCGTTGGAAGCTCTCCTCGGTTCTTTCGAGTCCCGGTGAGACACTTGTAGAAAATTTCTGTGAGCACAGCACCCGAATCCTAGGAAATTTGTAGCCTGAAGCACAAAAATATTTTTAAAAGACCAACCATATTATCCGAGTTGGAATACAAGAATTCACTTGTGAACACTAGCGGGTGGTTGGAAGTGTTTGCTGCGAATCCAACGGTGAAGGGATACTGAAAACAAAAAATCATGTGAGAGAATAAAATCAATATTCTTACTTTGGCATATTTGGGAGATGGCTCCGAGAAGGAGATGGATATCACAAGATCGTTCCCATTTCGAAACACATCGCTGTAGATAGCATAATTGACTCCTTGGGTCTTTTTGTTCACTTGATCTGCCAAATCAAGTTTGACTGCCTTGTCCTCTACCATTTTTCTTGCAATTTTTAAATCGATCGCCAACGATGGAATCCTATATTTGTGCTCCATCCACTCGATGTCCTTTCGAAGTGCATAACGACTATGCGTAACGAATGGAAGCAATTGTTTCTCCCGCTTCTGAGCTTTGTGAAATACCACCTCCAAATTATTATCCTGGCCCATCCAGTCAACGTTTGGATAAGCAATCTCCATTCCATGTTGATTCCATTGCTCTAGCAGCATTTCGACGAGGTCTCTGAAGTTTTATTCTGTAAAGTAAGATTCAAAAAGGAAAACTCACTCCACTTCCTCCTTTCGAACAAACACGACGGTCCATTTTTTCAGAGACACTGGTTGTAGGAATGTCTGAGCACTGCCATTGCGGAAAACAATTTTTGGTTTCTTCAAGACAATTCCTCTCAATTCCAATTGTTTCCTGAAGCTGATTCCAGGGGCCGCTGATTCCAAGAACATCGATATTACCATGTCGTCCGTGTACTTCTTGGTGATATGAGGTTTTCCTCCGTAATACTGAAATCAAGAGCTTCATGAAGCAGTTTTTAAGAACATGTTAACTCACCAAGTCGACATCTTGTTGTTCTCCATTTATCATTCTCTCTTTCGCTTTGAAAACCTCTCTCAAGCTCATCTCCTTATCAGCAACTATCTGTTTGATTTCATTGGCGGACTTTGAAAATCCATCGATTTTGAAGATGACTTCATCCTCCTGAAGATCCGGATAGTCTCCGTAGTTGAGTGTAAAGTCTAATCCAGAGACAGCATTGCTGATCTTTTTGGCTAAATTCGATGTGGCTTCCAAATCGTTTCGAAACCCCATGAATGAAGCTAGCACATCAAAAAGTGGGGCTTTCTCCGGATGAAACAAGTCATTTCTCACTAAAAATGCAAGATTTTTTATTAAATTTTAATATACCGTAAAACCTCTAATAGAACGACACCCGGATCGTCCACTTTGAGCCTATATATCTCATTTTCTATGAAAGATATCAAAAAGTGGCTAACTAGTAAAATGTTGCTGATATCCTGATAAACATTTTACTAGTTAACCACTTTTTGATAACTTTCAAAAGAAGTGAGATATACAGGCTCAAAGTGGACGATCCTGGTGTCGTTCTATTAGAGGTTTTACGGTAGTCACTCACGGTCATGAGAGGCAAACACTTTTGGAGTTCCAGTACTTTCCAATGCCTTAACTTCTGTTTTGATCCCAGCTGAAGACCTCAGAATTCCTTCCTCGAATTCCATTGGACCCAATCTATAAATTTGTTCGTTTTTTCTAGTCATTTTTCAAAGAAAACTAACCCAACAGTTTTGCCATTGATTAGATGGAGCATTCCATCGGGAGCGAGAAAAGCAGTATCTCTGAAATCAGACGTTTCTACGAAAACTCTTTTTTAAAAACTCACGGATTCATCATTCCTTCGATGATTGTCTTCAGAGCGTACAAAAGGGACTTGTTCTCATTTCCAGGATACTTGCTCACTGTGTTTTTGATATCCTCAACGGTCATTTCAAATGATTCTCGAGATCGGGTCATCTGGAAGCTGGCTCTCAAAAAAACCGGGCTTGTTGAGATTCCATCTTTGAGAGTGATCGAATAACTTGGTTTTAAAAACGTTGCAAACGTATACAGACATCCTTGACAGTCATAGAATCTCGGTCGACGGTCCTCTCTGAGCTGGTTGATCAGGTTGAATGCTTCCTTGACCACTTTGAAACTTCTGATCTTGTCCTGTTCCAGCTGGGAATCTTTTCTTATTGATTTCGAGACCTCAACGAAAGTCTCCGTTTTTCCACCATCCTTCATTGTTATATAAGTGACATTGACGGTGTATTTGAATATCTTGAATCCCTCCTTGAAAACTGGAAAAGAGATGCATTTATTTGATATCTTAATAGACTTGATACTCACTGATCTCTCGAAGATTTGTGAACAGTTTCACTGAGTCTCCATTCCTATTCCGTGGTTGTTTTTGGAAAAGAGATTGAGATTGTCCATCTCTACTACCCGTTGATTGATGGTTCGAATTCTTCTGATGTCTCGAATACATATTACCTGAAAAATGAGAGTTTTAATTTTGTTTAAAAGAGAGAGAGAGAGAGAGAGAGAGAGAGAGAGAGAGAGAGAGAGAACGCAAAGAGGAATAATAGAAGAGCCTATGATTCATAGTGTTTTGCCCTCTAAAAATTGTGCAGATGAACTGGTAAACAACAAAACTGGACACTGTAGACTAGGCTCTGCCTCTTTTAATTTTTTATGCGATAATACGATGAAGAGGAGAGTAAAAACACGGAAAAGCAGAAGACACAGATGTATGAATCAGTGAGTCAGTTAGATGGAAAGTGCAAAAAGTTTGGTAGCTGATCTTGAAAGGGGTTGTAAATCATATTGGGTTACTAACTGAGTGAGAGGAAAACGAAATTGAGTTCAATTGTCTCACTTTCTATGCAAGATATCACGAATTTGTCAGATGACAAAACAATTATGACATCATGAGAAACAATTTAACCGTTGACAACTTTTTTCATATCTTTGACAAGAACCGAAAAAAATGGGTCAAAGCTAAAAGCTAGGGGGACCTTATATTACAGGTTATTCGGCAAGAGTGTTGGGTATTACTGTAGCTATGGACTACTAGGCTCTACCAACCTCACACTGGCTCTCTTTAGGTTTACAATATTAACCTATTTAGAAACGATTACGACTGGTCACCTGCTTATGAATCTCCCAGCAGACACATTCTCGATGTCTGCTCTCACTAAGGCAATGACGCAAGAATGGGATAGGCAAAAAGTATGATACCTGCTGACTCTCCCTAATCCATACACTCTCTTTTACAATTAGATGGGTCTTACTCTCTTTTTCTCTCTCTCCGAAAAGGCTCGGTGTCCTTCCGAACGGCTGCTCGTGGACACACCAGATGACACAATAACATGGTTGGAGATGGGACAGGAGGCATAGAAAAGGACGAAAAAGGCGCTCAGAAGAAGAATATAAATGGGTTGGGACGGGGGTCTAATAAGATGGATCGGCGCCGTTCTTTTTTTTCGGAAAGCCGGGAGGAGGCAATGAGGCTTCCGGATGAATAAGGACGTTTGACGATTAGCCAATAGGGTTATAGAGCTTTTTTGGCACATTCACAGATAAAAGACAAAAAACCGTATTTAAAAATATTGTAAGATGCATTTATTGCTGATCAAATGTCGCAGAACAAAGGCGGTTCCGCGGGCTCTCATGACCATTAGTTTTTATTACTTTTTCATCTTTTTCGACTAATCAAACAATTTTTTTACTTTTCTCTCACACCATTTGAATCTCTCTTTCATTTGAATTTCGAAATAGACACAGGATACTGTAGGTTATGTTTTGGAAAGGTCAGACAGCTGCAGTAGAGAGAAATGTTTTGATCCCTTTTTCCTCATCGGAAAGGGAAAGTTGTTATTTAAATTTGCAGAATTTGAATCTAGAATTTTCGAATGTTTAGAGGGAAAGAGGGATAACAAAAGAAAAGAGATACGGAAATGTGAAGAGTCACATGCCAATGGTACTAATTAAAAATCGCAGACGCTTGGATATGAAAAACAAAAAGGTGCACTATTTTGGAAAAGGAGAAGCTACTGAAGTAAAGTTGTTGATTTAGAAGCTTCGTTAGTCGACTTCGAGGGTTGCTATGGATGATAAGGGAAGATAAAATAGGCTTCGAGACATTTCTTCACAGTGATAACAGGGGGGATGGATAGGTTGGTGACTACAAAAACAAGGTTTTCAATTATGATTTTTCTGATAGAACACATTCTGAAATTCAAAAACCATTTCATTTTTTGTGTCTGAAACATTCGAGCCGTTGGATCCTTCGAGTGGAAATCCCAGATTTTCAATCATTTCTAAAATGTGTTTCCTATCATCACTGATGCTCAGAAGGCCTTGTTAAATAGTGATAGCAAAGATTCCATTTTCGAGTGTTTTTTCGCAGATAACGTATTTGCTTTAATAGAAGCTCATCCAAACCGTCAACTTTGAGCTCAATTATCTGTGTTGCTATGAAAGATATCAAAAGTTTGTCAACTCATAAAATGTTGATGCTACTACGAAAAACAAATTATTAGTTGACAGAGTTTTTTTTAACTCTTATAGAAATTGAGATAATTGAGCTCATATTGTCTATTCAATAAAACGTGGGCGCGCCGCAGATTGCAAAGTGACACGCCCCTTTTTGAAACGCGTTCCCTTTTCCCTCTTCTCACGCGTTTCATAAAGGGGCGTGTCACTTTGCAATCTGCGGCGCGCCCACGTTTTATTGAATAGACAATAGTGTAAACACACGGTATTCTGGTACAAAGAATAAAGTTACGGCCTAAAATATAACGAACATTTTCAGTTACATGTATGTGAACTAGCAAGTTTTTGAAATGATATTGCGTTGTCTTGTATGAAAACAACATATTATTTTTACAGTTAGTTGTTTGAACTGGGAAAAAATAGAAGTTAGAAACTTCTATACAAAAAACGTATAACCTATTTCCAGACAACTAAATTTGAGCCAATTCAACATGAAAGAGCAAAACCACTTTAGCTCTCTTCTGTTTGAGAATAATACATATTTTCCTCTGTTCCAATACTGTCTGTTTATACTGGACCTCTATTTTGAATGTATAAAACTTTATAAACACCTGTGATAGAAGGCTCTTTCAATTCTGAACTTTGAGCCATTTTATATCGTTTTCTGTGAAAGATATCGAAAAGTTGCCACCTAATAAAATATTTATCAAAATATCACACACATTTTATCAGTTAGCAGATTGTTGATATCTCTCCTAGGGACCGAAATAAATGAGCTCTAACTTGACAGTGTGTGGACCCTTTAATTACAAGTCTTATGGTATCATGTTCATTCCGTATCCTTCTTATTTCAAACTCTTTTTTTAAATCTCCATTTTCAAAATTTTCCAGCTCATTGCACAAGTTTTCAACTCCACACTTCATACTTTGAGGAAGAAAATGATTCCTTTCCCCTCACTGCATTCTTTCACCAACTCTTTGCTAGTTTTTATTGTGAAAAATGTTTCCTCCAATTGCAGGTAAACCTTCAAAAATGGCCTTTTTCGAGATTTTTAATTTTTAATTTTGTTCAGCAGCTGATGCGTCCTCATCAAAATTAAGATGGCAGAAGTCGACAAGAAGGATCTCATATGTGAAACTTCCATCGATTCAAGCAAAAGAAAAGAAACGTGTAAGATTTTTTTGAGCTTTTCGGTAGGGGCGGTATTCAAAACAGTAGGTTAACATCTCAAGAATATTCATGCATTTAGCGAAACAGCAAAATTTTCTGAAAAATTCCAGCAAGTTCCATCTGTGCCATCAGAAGAAGAACCCATCCCCTCTGATCCTGCTCCTTCTCTTCCTCCAATTCCAACTATCACTCCATCATTATGCATTGACAATCAGTATTTCGCCAATTACATCAGTGAGAAGCCGAAAATAGATGATGTCGATTATCTGAGTAGAGCTTTCAGTTCGTGCGTTTTTTTTTCCGAAATGTCCAGGTTTCGTTCAGTGCGATTTGTAAAAAAAAAACATCGACGCTGTCTTTCGTCTTTTTCTCGATTACTATTGCTTTTTGACAACTTTCGCCTTGAAAATCTCCAAACAAGTCAGAAAATAAATGTTTCTGAATCTAAAAAATAGTCGGAAAACGGACTGAAGTCGAGAAAAAAGCCCGAAAGTAAGAAATATTCGCTAACTACAGTAGTTCGGCCGTGACCGCCGCTGCGAGATTCCCTCTTTCACCGCTCCTATGCATACCAGCATACTAACTTCAGATTCGCCAAAATACAAGGCTCTTTGCACGCTCAGAGAACCAACTATTTCGAGAAACGAGGTCTGTTGGAGGCGATTGAGCTGTGAGTTTCTTTTTTCTTCGTGTTTCTTCGTTATCCCGAAACTCCCGGTTTTCAGAAACATCGAACAACAAAACAGCAAGATTAGTGAAGCACTGGGATGTCTTGCTGTTTGCAATCAGATCACTGAGAAGTACCAATGCAATCTGGATACTTCTTTTCAAGTTTTAGTCGACGATTTTTCGGAGAAAGCTTTCCGTTTGAGCAGTTTGACAAGCCAACTTCATGCTCTTCGACAGACTCATCAGGCGAATCTGTGAGTTTGAAGTTACTATGCTCCTATGAGCTGACTACTTTCAGGCAAGTGAGAAAAAACGAAGCGAGTCAGTTGGAAGACATTGGTGGCGAATCGAAAGAGAGGAGAAGAGAATCAAGAAACTCGACGGGAAATTGTGGAAATTTTATGAGAATCGAGATGAAAACAGGAAAAGAGCAGCAACGGAAATTAAAAATGTGGAAGAAACAGAAAACGAAGAAGGTCATATAAATTGAACAATCTCAAGATTCAAATAGATAATAAACATTCGATAAATTAGGCAAAGCATATCCATTAACAGGGTTCCCCAGCAGGCTTAGTTCAATGGTTTCTCAGCCAGATGCCACAGTCCGTCGTTTAAATAATGAAGACTTTCGATTCCATTTCCCTTGTTGATCGATTGAATCTCTTCACTACTCATTGACATCAACCCAATAGCCAGAGCATGATCTTTTCCTTCAGCCATCACAGCAACGACGGTGTCTTTTGGCACTTGTGGAGTGAGTTTCGCTCCTGGAGATGTCAGACCAGGGCACATGATTGATGATCCATTGAGGATGAATTTGATTGCTCCTTTATCAACCTGAAATTATTTTTAATAAGAACTTATTTCTGGCAAGCTATATTCATGCCTGTTGGTGTGGGAGGATGAATGGATACTTGTGAAGTGTTCTCAGCGTTGGAATGTAGTCAGTGTTTCGTGTCTTCACAAATCTGACGACTCCGAGATGATCGGCAAGCAGCTCGATATGATCCTTGCACTTGATTACTTTGAAATTCTCCTTCTTTGGGAGGATCTCTTCAAGATGTGGTTCCAGGTACGGGTAGTTTTCGATCAACTTCTTGCGGATTCCTTTCTGAAATGACAATATGTTTATTGATTTTTATGAAGTAGTTTTTTTTCTTTCGTGGGAGGGATGTTCGGAACGGAATCCCGACCGAAATATTTCCAATTTTTTTTCAGAATTAAGTAGAGCTTTTTGGACTACGGTATGTCAAAGGCGCACGCGAAAACTTCCTTTGTGGGTCTCGAGCGGAATTTCTTTCAGTTTTTTCTTTCATTTTTGACATTTATTTGTCAATTTTCAACTAAATTTAAGCGGCGTTGTGAATGGAAAGTGAGATTTTCACTTGAAAATTTTTGAAAATCAAATTTTCCGAATCTTGAAACTCGGAACTTTCGACATTCCATCCTTGTTTCGAAGCTTTTCTTGGCTGGAAAGCCAATTATTATCGACTTTTCCTCTGTCACTAACCTGAACGCTGGACTTGAGCTGTGTGGCTCCAGTCACATCTTCCTTTTCGTCGAATTTTTTGAACATTTGGTCTTAAAAACACAGCGTTGTGAAATTGAACACACAACGACAGAATAATAAATAAAAGTGGCTGAAAAACCATTTCAAGTTGAAGAAATCTTTTGAAAAAGCAAAAAACTCGTTCAGTAAAGTAAGAAAGTGAAATGTGAAACAGGAATGTTGATGAATGTCAATGGGAATGATTGCACGAAAAACAAAAAAAGCGACTAGAAACAACAGAAAATGACTAGAATTAACTTATAAAACACAAGAATGAATCAATAGTAGATGCATCGGGTTCTGTGGAACGGAATTTTCTTCTCGACATCAGCAGCGTGAAGTCTTCTGTATCCCCAAACGAAGACGTCGACTTCCATTGCGGTCACTTCACGAACACCGGCGAATCGAGAATCGTTGGCACGCAAGTCGTTCATTTTGTCGACGATTTCCTGTAAATGCAGATGACAATTGATCAAAATCAAAGAAAATAACTTACGTCACAAACGGCAATGGAAGCTCCTCTCAACTCGACTTCTGCTGCTGATCCGTTTTCCAATCTCTTTCCCTCTCCGATTTGATCCAACAACTCTTTGGAATAATCCAGCGCTCCCAAATAGGCCAGCGCTTGTGGAACTCGATAGTCAGCGAACATCGTGATCGAAGAGATATCCTTGAAGTCTCCAACTTCATCGTGTCCTTGAAGGGCGCCATAAACATCAGCAACCAGAATTTGAGCTCTTTTCAGAAGGGAAACTTTTTGGTTGTGAAACTCGGCAAAATCACGGAATGAGGTGAAGTTTTTTACGATCAACTTAAGCAAAGTTTGAGCAGATTTCTCGGATTTCACTACGCAGTTGTAGAATTCACCATCGAATTTCTCCAGCAGCACTCTTCCCGACTCGTTGATAGCTTTGACTCGTTCTCCAAGCAAAGGAATCGAGTGACCGGAATCTGATTTGAAGATGTGATCGATTTCTTCTTCGCTGACATTTTTCATCCATTCGGCTGATAGAATCGGGATCCCGGCAGCCAAAGCCTTGTTCACAGCGGCACAAGCAGAGAAGTATCCAGTGTAAGATTTTCCATTCCAGCTGACATCGTAATGTGCTCCCTCGTCAGGCCAGAATGAGAAGTTGATTGTATCGACGAGGAAAACCCTGGAAGACTCGATGTTTTGAAGATATAATTTGAGAAAAATGCCTTACCACTGAACTGCTTCCTTATCGCCGCTTTTCGGGTGTAGTTCTGGGGAAAGGAACAATGATTCTTTGATAGATCCGTCTTTGGCTGCTTCGAGAATCTGAGAAAGCAAAAATTGGTTAATTTTTTGCTGCAAATTATTGTCGACCTGTTCAGCGACTTTTGTTACTCCGCTTTCGTTGACCTTCACCAAGCTTCCGTGTTTCACGATGAATTTTCCTGACTCTGAAGGTCCCAGTACCCCGTCAATGAGCATTTTGTCTGAAAATTTATGAATTTTCCGATTTTTAACAGCAAAACAAGCCTAAAATTTGAAGTTTTTCATCAAAAAATTATGTTGAAAACGTGTTGAAAACTACGACGCTCCGAAATTCCGCGCCTGCGTCTCCTCGTTTCATGCACTCCTTCCCAACAGTCGAGATTCTGCAGTTGAAAATAAATAGAAAACCTGGAATTTCAAGATAAACATTTTCTGAAAAGTGATTTTTTTTTCAGAGAAAAATAATTATAAAATTTTAAGATACATTTATCATTCTAATCAAGAGAAACAGCAAAGTCATAGATTTTTTAGTTGTAAATAATTTATAACTTGTAAATAGACAATTGTGGGCAATCTTCGACTGTGACAGACTGTGACTCTAGAAAAAAAAGAAAAAAATCTAGAAAGCGGAAAAAGTTCAATTCATTATATTTCATTAAAAGAAATTAATTAAAAAAATTCCATTCGAGTATATCCCTTCTGCAATCGGTGCTTGCTGTCAAAGAGCATCCTGTAAAAAATTCACCTCAAATCAAACCAATGCCTTCTAGTTACCTTTTACCCAATAAAATCGTCTTCAGAATGTAGAAATTAGTAGGATCGAAATGCACAGAAAAATGACTCAACTCTATATTACCAACATCAATGCTATGTCTACTTCACACCGATTTTAGACACCACTTGTGGTCCCGCTATCAAAGGCTTTCCGTTTTTCCAATCAGCACATGTATGCTCAATGATTAATCTCACATCTAGATCTTCAACTGGCTCTCCGTTCAGATGAAACTTTCCGTCATATCCCACTTCGCGGATAGTGAAAATGTGATCTAGAAACTCTGAAAGAAGTTGATTTTCTTTTGGAATTTTTTGATTCCGAAACTAATCCTATTGACTCTGTTCTTTTTCAATTGGACGTGTCTGGGAGGTTGATTGATTTCCGGTGAGTTAAGATGGTCTGATTTACGGTAAAACCTGTAATAGCAGGGCCCTTAACTTGTAACTTTGAGCCAATTCATCTCAGTGCCTGTCGAAGATGTAAAAAATTGCTCAACTAATAAATTGTTTACCATAACATTAAAAGGGATTACGGTTCTTCAACAAAGTGTCTTTTGTTCAGAATACACGGTGTGCTCCAATCTGCTATCGCATCTTCTTCTCCACACAAAAATGAATTCGTCCTTGAATTTATACATAACTACATAATGGATTTACTTGGAACTTCTATGGAGTATGACTGGAAAATGTATACTAATGACAAGAAGTTAAGCGTTCCACAACTCCAAGATTTATCAGGATGCACAATCATTCAGTATCAAAACTTTGTGGAATGGGTGGAACTTGACTTGGAAGAATACTTTTTCTCCTCATGTCCTGTTTCGAAATGGATTCATATGCAAATTGAATCATTGAAAGCATTCGGTCCAGATTCTAAATTTTATATGACAGAATCTATTGATATCTTCAAAATGGACAGTGTTCTGAGTTATTGCGTTATTTTCAAGGAAGACAGGCATTCTTGAACACCTGTCGATATGAGAGTTCGGACTTTATCGAGTTTGTGAATAGATGGAAATCAGGAAAGGCTTTTCAAAAACTGGAATATTTTTATTGTAACGATCACTGCTCCTATGAGCACATAGAGAACAAAGTTTTGAATGCAGTCGGGGCAAAAACATTGATACAACGAAACAACCACCAACGCACACTTTGCCTTTAGTGTAAGTTAATTTTCAAGTTTAAACTGAAGAAACCAGTAATTTTTTCTGCTACGTTCATTGTGATAATAAACCAAATACGCATCCAATCACGAGTTATGCATATGTTGTCAGAGAAACAGATGGACATGTGACATCTATCCTGTTTCAGGACCGGAAGTTCAGTTTTGGAGTATGGGATAAAACAGAAGAAGAGTTTTTTAGCAATGATGGAATAGCTGCGAATTGGAACCAGCTAAAGATAAAATACCAAACTTTTTTTTGACCCAATTTTGTGCTTCTGTTTTGAGGAACCAATGTTCCTTGTAATTTTTTTATTGCCTCCTTTCTGATTCTTTTTTTTTAAATTTTGTGATAAATTATAGCTCATGCTAGACTTATTTTATGCTAAAATTTTTGTTCTACTAAAAAAAGTTTGATCTTCCAACTTCCAGCTAACTTTATGTTTTATTCTACAAAAAATAAACGTTTTGTACAACTGTAAACTTTGTGTCTTTTTTCCCAATTTTCTAATTTTATCTTCAAAACCATAGTCGTTCAGTTTCCTCCAAAATGTCAGAAGCCGAAATTCCTGTTGACAAAATTCACGACATGATCAAACAGCTGTTCTACGGCTTCAGTACAATCCAGAAGACGCGTCGCGAGGTGTGGGAGTTTATAAAAACACAAAAAGGACTTGCGGAGAGGTTGAGAAGAGGTAACAATTAGAAGAGCATTTTTTGACACTTTGTTTCGTTTCATATGAGAGATCTCAAAAAGTAGTCAACTGAAAAAAAAAAATTAATTTGAGCAGACAGATTCCTAAAAAAATTTCCAGCCGCCGAATTTGGAGAAAAATTACCGGACGCAATAAATTTGGACTTGAGTATGGAGGAAAAAGAAAAGGAAAAAGATGACTCATTCGGTGAACCGAGTGAAAAAAGACCAAGAACAACGTCTCCAGAATTTTCTGGAAGACCCATCACGCCGAATCCAGCTGACGAGGAGCTGTATCCGGATTCAGATGATGAACCAATGCATGATTCGGAAAATGAGGATGAGGAAGAGGATAAGGTTTTGATAGAGGATGAGGATATGCCAATATTCAACCTGGCTTATATAAGACAAAAATTCGAATATTTCGCCGAAAAATATGTGAGAATTCAGAAGAGTCGAGAAGAGAGAGGAACGTTGGTGTGGGATGAGAAAATGGTTATAAGAGTGTGAGTTTTTGATTTTTCGGGATTGGTCGGATTTGAAACTTCTTCTTTTTATTCAAAAAGTAAAAAAAAAACACAGAAGTTTAGATTATTGTTACTCATGTTTTCTCGAATTTGTGAAAACAAGAAAAATCAAAAAGTAAAACTAAAAATGTTGAAACTTCCACAAATAATGTTTTCTCAAAATCAGAATTCTAGGAAGTTCCAGAAAACTTAAAATTTTTAAATTCCAAAAAAAATTCAAAAATTGCAAAAACTAACAGAAACCAAAAACTTCAAATTATATTCTCGAATTTGTGAAATCCTAACATTAAAAAAGTGAAACGGAAAAATTTGAAAATTGAAAGTTTCAAAAATTGATGAAAGTTCTCAGAATCCTAGATAATTCCAGAAATTTTAAAAGGTTCAAAACTTAAAATAAATATGAATCTCACTTTATAGATTCGGGAACATTTTCAGACTCTACCTTCGTCGAATTTCCCGAAAATGTCGAGCAGCAATGATCGACTTGAAAATCCCAATAAAAAAGTTTCACTGTGTTGTGGAAAACGATTTCATTCAATTTGTGATTTTCTGCTCTGGAAAACCAGGTGAAGAACTGAACATTCGATATCATAGAAGAAGTCAAGAATATCTAGAATTCGCATATGGAGAAAATTCTGGAAGATTTTTCAACGATAAACGAGAAACCGGTGGGATGTTGGATATGATGTATTTGCTCAAAAAACTGCCAAAACCGCTACGGGAGTTGAAATTCGAAGCTGATAAAGAATGCCATCCAACTCGGCTGAACTATCATTTGATTTTCGAATCCTTCCGTCGAATTGCGAAATCATGGAATCGATATATCGAGGTTGAAAAGTTAAGAATCCAGATTAAAGGATTCTTGAGATCCGCTGGATATGATAACAAGATAATGCGATCAGTTCTGAAACGTCTGAAACCGGGAACACTGTCTACTCTGGAAGTGAGAACAATGCTTGGATGGGGAAATGAATTAGGGGATCATGTGTTCTTGCATCCAGTCACAATGACTGAGCAATGGAGAAAAATTAAGATCCTGGATATTCGAAGTGCAAGAGCATTGCATAATTGGTACATGTATAGAGGTTTTCGATTGGTTTGGACACTATTTTTGAGCACGAAGGATGTGGAGGATGTGATGACGGTTAGTATTTAATTTGATATATCACCTACACCCTTCTAATCAAAATATCCTGTTTATTTTCCAAAAATCATATTTCTTTCCAGATTTTCTCCGACTACCCACCATTTCAAGGTGGCCAAGGATTCACACTGAACACCACCGACGAAATCGACCTTCATTTGTTCAAAAGTGTCGCCAAATATCATTCCAAACTGATTGTAATGATAAACGCACCCACTAAAAACGCCCGCCACCGTCTATTTTTCCGTGCCAAGCGCGGTCATGTTGTCGGTATTTCGATCAGAGAGACATCAATGCAAATCAGTGTCGTCTGGCCAAAAAATTACAATACTATTGATTTCCCGACTCTTCCACCAGAGGTTACTGGATTGTCTTTGAATGAACCGGGTCCGTCGACTGCTGGACAAATTAGTCCGTAATTGTTTTTTTCTGAATCTTATTTTTTGCTTTATTTGAATTATCTGGCTTGTAGCTGACTATTTTATTGTTTTCTGATTGTTTTCCCTTTTTCATATTCTTATAGATTTAAGAATAAAACATTTCTTTTCTGTTCTCTATATGTTTATACAAAATGTGCTCCGGATGAATATAAGTTTTTCAAAATCGATTTAAAGAATAGAGCTGAATATTTGATTTTCAAATAGAAATCTGTTCATTGTGAAAGGAAATATGTGCATACATATAAAAATTTGGAAAGCATTACATATTTCAAATACCTCGTAACAAACAGTAACCTGGATGAGAAATGAAAGATCAACAATAATAACATTTAGGTAAAAAAGAAAACTAATCGACCAGAGAATTCCACCATTTTTCTATATCTTTTGTAGTTTCACTCGGCATCAGTGGTCTCGGGCTTCCCTGTGTCGATGGTACCGGTAAAGAGGGAGTTATCACCTGGAATAATGTACTTCAGAAGTCATTAGACAAGAAAAACAAACCAGTGGCGAATGATCTCCCATAAATTCGTCAGATAAGTTTTTGGGTGAGAATGGAGAATCTTCTCCACGTTCTTCCACATCCGGAAGATCATAAACGTTCAATTGTAGCTGAAATTTTGGGATTGGAAAGCTGGAAACCTAGATTACTTTCAACATGAAAAAGCTAAGGCTTCATGAAAAAAAAAATAAATGGCGACACGAACTCACATGAAAATTCTTGGGCTGTCCGGAACCCTTTCGGATTTCCGAACTAGCTCGTTTCGGAAGCAACTGGACGGTTTCAGGCGATCGCGACTGCAATGGAAATGAAAAAAAAATGGACAAAGCAGAAGGCAATACTATGATGGGGAAAACCGGAGGGGTGAAAAATTAAAAGACGAAACAAAACTCTGACTTTACAGAGACAATGAATGGACGTGGAATTGGCTCACTACAAACTACAAACTTCTTTTTCAGGTCTTACACTCACCTTTACTTGCTTTTTCTCACTTGAGCTTCCGACCATGAACTTTCGAGCAGCCTCTTGGAATAGGCCTGTTCTCTGAAAACAATTGTCACATTTTAATCGTTCAACTCAAGCCAACTAACCGAAAGAACATCCGGAATACTACCCCTCCGATTCTTAACAGCAGCCTTCTTCCTAATCGGTGGAGGCGTGTCTTCTTCACTACTCTCCGTCTCTTCTGTATCGACACTGTTTCTTCCATTACTCTCAAATCGAAGTCTTTGCTGCACAGTTTCTTCGTGAGAAATCGACGAGTGTCCAGACGAATGGACAACCGGATGGCCTCCAGTTCCAGATGGAATCACACCTTCCACATCTTTCTGACTAGGGTTTCTCATTTTTCGAAGACATCCTTCTAACCATGTTCGGATGGTCTGTTTTGCTACTTCTTCTTCTATTATGAATTCCAGCTCTTCTCGTTGTAACAGTTCTTCGAGTTGAAGGAATTTACGAATGTCCACTGATCGGTATGAGAGCATACTGAAAACTTTGTGAGTTAGAAGTTTTAGGAGAATTGCAAACTCACTATAAAACATCGTGAAATGATACCTCCTCTCCATTATGCAACCGTTCCATTTCATAACACATATGCTTGAATAGGATCCGATCTTTCTCTGGATCCACTTCGAGTCTCCCTTTGAATAGCCGCAACAGAAATTTCACTCTTTCCACTGGAATTGTCCTTTTCTGTTCTTGATCTACCATATTCCAGACATATTGAAAATTACGAATATCTGCATAACTGAGCAGCGCATCTTCTTCCGACGAGTAGAATAGAGAGAAGTTCTCCATAATGATTGCTAAAAAAAAACCAGTGTTGGTATCCGACTTGCAAAACGGGCCCTGTCATAATTTCTTTTAGAATCAATATTATCATTTAATTTTCACATGAAAGAACTCAGCAATTTCTACAAAATGATACTATTTGGAAGATTGTAGCTTGTCAATGAACAAAGTTACAGACGAAACGGGCTGAAAAAAAAGGCAGGCCCCGGCCCGGCCCGGATTGACCACTTTATGCAAGACCAACATGGTATTAATGTCTTACTCAACGGAAGCTCTCAAAATTTATATGAATTTATGTTGTGTGTGAAACAGTAAAACTCACCAACAAGAAGATTTCTGACAATGTACGTGATGATGAGGTAGAAGGAGCAAAAGTAGATTATGGCTCCATAGAAGTTGCCGCAATCCGTCTCCCAATAGTTCATTCCCTCGTTCCAATAACAGAATGGGGCACTTCTCTGAAAATTTTTGTCAATTGAGTGAGCAATGAAATTTAAAAAAAAAACTCACCATACAATCATGCATAATATCATTCCAATCCTCTCCGGTAAGACATCGAAATAACACAACCAACGCTTCAGATGCCGTTCGAAAATTCACATGTTTGCTAACTGCCATCCCATACTTGACCATCGGAAACAAAATGACTCCAGTGTAGGCGTAGAAAAGGACAAGAAGAAAGAGAGCAGTGATAATGAAGAAGGATCGAAACATGGACATTACTACTGTGAGCATCAGCATTTTTAGAGTGGAGTTACGACCTGAACATTTAACAAAATTTTCAGTTTCATAAATATAGTATGAACTAGCGAGTGTTAGACATGATATTGCATTATCAATTATAAGAACAACAAAATCCTAAACTCACTAGCAATTGTGAAGAATCGCAAAATCACAACCAAATATCCGAAAGTGTATGTGAACTTCTTCAATTGAACTTGCACGATTACATCAACCTTCGAAGAGGGAAGAGCGACGAAAAAATGAAGAAAAATCCAAATCACTCCAAAAACAGTAATCAACAAGTCCACTCGATTTCTTCTCGATTGCCAGAAGCCGGAGAACGTGTAAGCGATGACTTTTAGAATAATTTCCACAACGAAGAGCATCGTGATAAATGCTGCCAGAGCTGTTACAGTGAACACATAAGTTGCTCGTTGTTCTTCCTCCTCCACGTTCCATGGAATAACCAAAGTAAACGAATTGAGAACTACCAGAAGAGCAAACGCTTGATTGAATCCTCTACTCATTGTAAGATCGTAAAGTTTGGTACGGAGACGTGCCGATTCAGAAGGCTTCGGTGGTACATGAAGTGGCTGTGCCATTTTCAATCGAGCTTTTAGATCGTGCCATCTTCTTTGATCTACAGTAAGAAGTGCAGTTCCTCGATTCTGAGTGTAATTGGCAATGACGACTCCAACGAATAATGTCAAACCAATCATACATCCAATGAATACATAAATATGAATGAAGACAACAGCCCATGGTCCATGACGATTCCATAAAATATCTCTGATGACGTTCCATCCTTTGAAACTTAAAGTTTCGAATAAAGCCAGCATTGCGTTTCCAACATGATCGAAATTGAAATTTCGAGGATTCGTCCAAACTCGAGGAACCATGATTTTGGGGTGCATTGCATCCGTGTCCTTGCCATATACTTCAAGACGGGTCACAAACAATTTTTGCCAGAAGACACCAGTGCAGTTTTCCTGAAAATCCAATAATTAGATGAAGTTCTTTTTGAAAAATCATACCCTAGCTGTAATAGTCGGATCATTGCATGCAGCCAGCTTTCCACCAACAATTTGTACTCCAAAACTGGCAAAAATAAACATGACAACTATCATGAGTATCGTTACCAAAACGATTTCTTTGAATCCACGAAAGAACTCGAGAACTACTCTCCGAATATGAGGAACCAAGGTGTAAATCCTGTATAAATTTAGTTTTATGTGACACTCTATCTTACGGAAACAAACCGTAATGGTCTCATTGCTCTACAAATCATCAGAAACTGAGCTAAACTGTTGATTTCGACATGCTTTGGCATCCAAGCGAGGAATATGACAGAGGTCTGAAATTTAGAAAATTACCGTAAAACCTGTAATAGAAGGGCCCTCTAACTTTCAACTTTGAGGCAATTTATCGCGGTTTCTGTTAAAGATATGAAAAAGTAGTCAACTGATAAATTGTGTATCAGTATATCAGAAAAGTTTTATCAGTTGACACATTTTTGATATCCCTCATGCGAGCCGAGATAATTGAGCTCTAACTTGACAGTATGGGACTCTTCTATTACAGGTTTTACGGTATCAGAGAATAGAAGAAAAACTTACAAAGTAAATGAAGAGATTCATGACACCGCCAACATCTCGGACAACTGCCTTTGGTGTGAAAAAGAGACCATTGGCGATTATTTTAACACATAGCTCGAGCGTCATTGCCAATACGAAGAAGTAGTCTCCGATCTGGAATTTTTACTTTTTAGAACTGAAAATTTGAAAAAAAAAATCCTAAAATAGTGCATGTTTAGATTTATCTTAAAGCTCAATCTATTCAGATAGACTTGTATAATTTTTAAAAAATTGAAACAAAATTAGAGGGGTTATGGTAGTTTGAACAACATAACTACAGTAATTCAATGTTTTCGGATTCTAGTCGAGTTGGTGTTTATCTGAAATCAGTTTTTACGTTGAATTTGAATTCAGCATGTATTACGCTTCAAAATGATGTCAAGCATGAATATACCTTCTTTGAAATTTATCGAATTTTCTGGGTCTCACCACAAAAATCCCAAATCTCCCCATTGAGCACGTGCTCAAGCAAGGAAGGCGAATTTTGTGATATATAAATTTTTTCAATAAAATTAAAAACTGCTATCAGATGTAAGAATAAACTATTCTGCTTTTTTTCTGCTCGAGATGACCATTTGTCCAAATTTTCCTGTTTCACTAATATAAAAAATACACTGCTCTTCTCCTTCCTTGTTGAACGTCTCATCAAATACCTGCAAATACGCATTGTACATCACCAAATTCTCTCCAGTCGTTGGCCACGGACTTTCGAAAAGCATTGAAATACAGGAAACAATGGTTACTGTAGCCATTGCCCAATCAATATAAGGCATGATTCCAATGAGTGCTCGAATCTCTTTGAACCGTTTCTTTGTTTTTGCACCTCCATTTATTCCGTCATCCTGGCTATCATACTTGGAATGAACTAGTTTTTTGCAAAATTCTCGTAATTGGGAAGCTCTTCCAACAAGAAAAAGAGGTCGGTCGAAGAATGGATGATTCTCTCGCATGTCTTCTTCGATTCGGTTTCTGGAATGGAAAAATATCTATTGAAGAAGAATAGTTATTGTATGAATTACAAGACAATCTAATTTGAGGTACATATTGTAAATGTGTAACAGCAATTTTTCTTGGTCCTGAATTACCGTAAACCCTGTTATAGAAGAGCCCCCTAACTTTTAACATTGTGTCAATTTTTCCCGTTAAGGATATAAAAAAGTAGTAAACTGATAAATTATTTATCATAATATCACTAATATTTGATCCGTTGTATTTCCCAAAAACTCTCCAGAGTGTGGAGTCCCCACCTTGTAATTTCAGCGAGCTGTCTCTTCTGCTGCAACGCTCGAATATCAATTTCTCCTTGCTTTGCATTTTTCTTCGGCGCGGAATCTGATGGTCTTGAAAGATCTCCGTTCTCACTGTACATATTGAACTGCTTGTTCCTTACAGCTGTTTGCAGAAACTTTCCAGTCATTGATCGAGATTTTCTGAAATTTCACACCTGTAAATCTCTCAGCTGCAATTCAATGATTTCTGTAATTTTGGACTTTGAGACGAATCGAAACTGAACAGAAAAAAGTGTAAAAGGTGACCACAGACCGAGACAGTAGGAATGGAAAAGTGTGTGTGAAAAAATGAAATGGAACAGGACATGTCACATATTTACGAGGACAAGAAATTTGAAATCACTAGAACATTGGACAATTTCTTTGTACCTTTTTTTATTCTACCTCTATTATTTTTTGCTACAAAGACTTGAGAATCCCGCATTTTGAACCACTGAAAAAAACGTACGGTAGAGCGCCTCTCCTTGGATATAAACTGCCGGATGAACGTGTGAAATGGGGCAAAAAAGATAACGAATTAGACAACGATTGACGGGTGCGATCGGACATTCTGCAATGGATGGTGGGTAGAAAAAACACGTGGCGATGGGTTGATCGTCATGGTTTTTGTATAAATTCATATCGTGCAACAACGGGTGCTGTGAAGAAATCTCACATTCACTCGAAAAAGGTTAGAGAAACAGAAAAGTTGGTAAAAATCGGAAACTGAAAATCAAAACCATGCCCAAAAATAAACAAAGGGTTTTCACATGAAGTCTAAATCATGGATTACTGTAGCTTACTCTAGAAGATTATTGAGACTGCATCGGAGAGATGTGGATCCAACTTGACGAAATGTTAGGCCATATTTTGAGATTTTTCGTTTACCAGCCGATTTCATTAACTTTTTCGGGAACTCAAAATCTGTTTCCATCGAATCTGTTGTCTCCAAGCTGTGATCTACTGCGAATTGATGAGTGAAACTTCCACGAACTTTTGGCATCGGAAAGTCACTGTCGGCTCTGTAATTATACTCCTGTGTAAGCATAATTTAAACGACCCAAACCGGTTACTCTGACCTAATTATCTCGATTACTGAGAGAGAGAGATGAAAAACATTTGTCAACTGACAAACTGATTTCCATAATATCACCAACGTTTTATGAGTTGACATACTTTTTTCTATCTCTCATACATAGGAACCGAGATAGTTGAGCTCAAAGTTGATGGCTTGGGGGTCGTTCTATTAGGGTTTATATAATAGCATACAAAGTTTTCTCACTGTTTCGATGCCTTTTCTTTTTCAGTGTAGTACACAACTGTTATTCAATCAAGCAAATAATTTATAATGACTAGAGAGGCTTCTATTAGAGGGAATACGGCAATCTGTAAATACCACTAACTTTCTCATCACAGCCATTTGTGGTCTCGTCGGGAATTTCTCAAATACCCGAAGTCTCCATGGAAGTGTGGATCTCATTGAAGTTGTCGCTTCTCGAGCTTTCAGCTGTTTCACTTTCTTCAGCTCTTCATCCATTTCCAGATTATCAAGAATTACGGCGACGAATAAAGAAAGTACAATCTGAAATTCACTGTTTCATAAAACTGATTTCAATTTGACACATTGTCTCTTTGTATTTGGAGTGTGTAAAAAATTCACCAGAGTCACAAAAAGATGGTACGCGACGAAATAAAGTGCCACAAAGGGAACCAGATTGTCATCAGTGGCTCGTAGAACTTCCACAACGAAATCTGTCCAACCTTCTTGTGTTATAATTTGGAACATGGACATGAAGGCCTGCAAATCATTCGTTTTTAGTACAATAATGGCTTGAACTAACTTACCTGTGGAAATGTCCGAAAGTGATGAAGATTCGGAACCGAGTAGAAGAGTTGAAGAGAAATCGCAGAACAACAACAAATGAAAGCGATGGTGAATATCACAAGACCACCCAACTTTTTTCCAGGACTAAATATTTTCCAAACAAAGTCTTCAAGAATCGGCGATGCCTTGATCAGTCGAAGAAGACGAAAAGTTTGAAAATAGGTGAAATAGTTCCTATCGTAGAAAAATTTCACACAGTTCAACGAACTTCCGACGCACAGAATCAGCTCGAACTTGAAAATTCCACGTCTAATGAAGTTTCGAAATCCATAACACAGAATTTTGATGATGCATTCGACGTTGAACAAAATCGTGAATGCAACTTCGAAAATGTAGAAATTGTGTTTTCTGAGAATGTCCGTTCCATCGTGACGATAGACAAACATCGCGTTTCCAATGGCATTGAGGACTACGAAAATGATAACGAAGCATTGAAAATACATACTTCGGAGCATCTGAAAAACAACTGGATTTGAAAAGATACTTATCAAAATCCATACCCATTGCAACTTCTGCTTCGGACCCTCTGCTTCAACTTCTCCATCCAACCGAATCAACCTCCATCCATCTTCGGTTTTCTCTAGTTTCTTCCGAAACCCCTCATCCAAAGTCACTTCCTTTTTCTGCCACATCTCACTGAACTGTACTCGAATCTCCGCGAACGTTTCAGTGATGACAGCGATGAAAACGTTCTTGACTAGCCAGGCGAGAAAGAAAATCAAAGTACAAAAGTAGAGAAATGCCAGGTAGGAAGGCAAAGAATCCATACAATCATAGAGAACATAAACCCATCCTTCTTCAGATGCAGCTAGATATACTGTGAATACACTTGCTCCGAAATCATTGAACATTCCATAGAATCCTTCTCCTTTTGCATTCAGATTCAGTTGCATACAGACCATGGGGGCGGGACATTCGTATCCACCGATTCCTTCTGGAGCACACATGGTGTCCGGAATCGCAAGATCCATTATTGTGACGTTGTTGGGATCCGTTTCTGGAAAAACAATTACCCGTTCAATTTTTCAATACTAATAGGATGATGACTTCAAAATTAAAAGAATTTGTAACAGCGAAATTTTTTTTATCAACCAAGTTAAAAACTCACTCGGCTGCACACAATGATAATCCATTCTCCCAAACAATTGAATTCCAAAAATTGCATATAAGGTCATGAAGAAAACAAAAAACAATGTGACATTCTTCACTTGCTGGGACGAGCGTCTGAAATTATCTCATGGATTACTGTAGCTTATCCCAAAACTCACTTCAACAACTGTTCTATCCGCTGTTTTGGTAACTTAAATTTGACTACTAGTGGTATTAATCTGATAATGATGAATGGTCGAATCGACCGAATGACACCGTACCAGGTACGGTAATGGAGGTGCAGAAATGGAAAAAACTTGTCTGAAAATTAATAACGATAATTTTCGAAAGAGAAAAAAGTCTTACCGATAAGTTGATAACAATGAAGCAAAAACGAGAGTAAGTGGATGATGGAGATGAAAACAGAAAATTGGGACCAGCGATTGGATAAATATGAGGAATCGCACTGAATAAAAAGTTTTGACCTGATTGAGTCATAAAAAAATTAACTCACTCGGAAAATGCCTTCATAATGAATTCGTAACACTGAATCCAACATAAAAATTGATACTGAAATGAAGTCGGCGGCCAGAATGATATATGTGAGTGATGGGAATAGTTCTATTGTTCGTGGAGTGTGTAGACAGACCTGGAATTTAAAAAAAAAAATAAAAGTTGGGAAAAGCCATCAATAAAAAAACTCACCGTTATCATTGATATCGTACATGCTATCTTGAGAGCCCACTCCACTCGTTCACTTTCTACGTAACCTATAAAAATGATTTTCAAAATTTTTCTGTTCCAATTTGCAGGTTTAAATTCTACAAGAAGGTTCCAGATCAATACTTCTTCCCAAATTTACGGAATAACTTACTGTTCCTAACTGGCTTTTTGTGTTGCGTGCTGAGCATGTCTGATATGGCGGCAATGCTCTCACGGGCTCCGAACGGAGCTGCTGATCCCGGTGCTCCACGTGACGATGAGTTCTTCCGGGCCAGCATCGCCGACGAAAGGACCGCCGCTTTGGCCACTGAAAAATGTATCATATACTAGGGCTGATTAATTGATTGATATTTAAGATCACTGATTAATCACTGATTTAGGTGCCACTTCGAAATTTTTTATAAAAGTAAAAGTTTGTGATAAACAATTTATCAGTTGACAACTTTTTTTTATATCTGAACGGAGATAAATTATCTTGAATTTAGGGGGCCTTCTATTATGTATACATTGTATGATCAAATTAGTGTGATCACATTAATAGTTGGAAAATTATGTGAATGGATTTGAATAAAATAGGAAAACAGTAATATTTTCTTTTTGCTATTTCTATAGTCATTCTGAATCCTGTCATTTATTTTTCGTTTCTTTTATTCATCCCGCGCGACGTCTTCAATTTTTTTCTTTTTCCTTCTTATTTTTGCCAGAAGTGTGAGAAAAAATAGACAATTGAAATTGCGAAATTATGAAATTCAATCCTTCATTCATTTTCCTCACCAGAAGCAGTTCCTCTCCCACCACGTCTTCATAGAAAAGTTGCGTTGCTGTTTCATTTTAAAACAACAAAAAACTGGAGAAGCGGGGGAGAAGAAAAAGGAGGCAACCTAGATTATCAAGGGAGCAATTTGGAATAAAAACGAAAGAAGCGATAGGAAAAATGCGAAGGAAAGGAGAACAGGAGAACAGGATGTTGCAAAAAGTAAAGGAGAACAGAAGATGGATCATGTAGAAATTGTCGAGTTTTTCCAGAGTGTCAAGGTTCCAAGTTTGAGAAATCGTAGAATAGAAAGCTAATGATCTTGTTCCAATGTGTTAATTTTGAAACTGATAATTTTTCAATATACTACATTTAGCAAGGTACCGTAAAACCTGTAATAATGACCTCTAGCTTTTGACTTGTGCCAAATTATCTCGATTCCTCTGAAAGGAGTGAAATTTTGTCAACTGATAAATTATTTATGGTAAAATCACCAATATTTTATCAGTTTACAATATTTTTATATCTTTCACAAGAATCGAGATAATTGAGCTCAAAGTTGATGGTTTCGGAGGGCTTCTTTCTGGGGAAATAAGTCCTGATCACGGTCCAGTTTCAATAAGTAAGTTTTGCACCCTGTTTTTTTCTTTAAAAAACTTAGCTAATAACCGTAACACCTGTAATAGAAGGCCCCCTAAATTCAAGATAATTTATCTCCGTTCAGATATAAAAAAAAGTTGTCAACTGATAAATTGTTTATCACAAACTTTTACTTTTATAAAAAATTTCGAAGTGGCACCTAAATCAGTGATTAATCAGTGATCTTAAATATCAATCAATTAATCAGCCCTAGGGTGTTTTTAAAGGCAGTGAATTCTTGACAGGCGTTCGTTTGAAAATGTATTTAAAAAAAACGTTGGAACTTTTGGAATTATTCCTTCACAGATAGATGATTTAGAAACATTTTCAGATAGAAAAGTATTTTTTAAAAACGCTTCTGACTGATACAGGATCTTTCAAGACAGTAAATTTTACTTTCAAGCTTTTGACGAAAACAAGTTTACAATTCCAACCTCCATATATGAAGTATTGTTTAACACTAAAATTCCTGGGTCAAACAACCAGAAGAAAGCAGTACCTTTTCGGATATTCAACTTTTTCAATATCTAGCAAACATACCTTGTGAATATTTTCGTTGATTATTGATAGTAGTGATAAGACTCTTTTTTCGCTCCGACATCTTTCAGAGAGTTCAAAACTTTTAGGGAATAAAAAAACCAGTCCAAAAAGTATCCTCTTTGAATAGTGTAATAAAATTGAAAAAGATTTGAGGAATGGAATTTGAAGAAGTTGAAAAAAAAAAGAAAAAGCAAAAAGTATCTCTTTCTTCTGTCCCTCTTCGTCTTCTTCTTGTTCCCGCCTCTTTTGACTATGTGTGGAAAGGCCCGACTTGTTGCCTTCTTTCCGTTTTTTAGCCCGTCTTCTTCTTCTTTCAAATATCTGATGTGATGCTCTCAGTGTGCTCTCAATGCTCCAAACCATGAGAGGATGCCACGCCCACATTTGGTCTGGTCGTGTTTCTGCTTTTGAGCCCATCAATTTTTGGCGGAAAACGGAATACACAGACACTCGTTGGGTGAAGTCGGGTACCACAAATGCTTCACAAATTGTTTGCTTCGAGTCTCTTTCTAGAAGAGAGGAGGTCTTTTTAATTTTGAGATGAGATGGGGCAACAAATCCTCTTTTCCTTTCCTATCTATCTATCTTTTTGTCTTTTTTTGTGACCGAAAAAGACAGAAAAGAAACAAAGGGTGAAATAGGATTTCGATTTGCTTACTTGCGCTTTTCTCCAAAAAAATAAAAGAGCTATTCTGCAAGGCTGAAATCTAATTTCGAAGAAATAGGGATTGGACTTTCAAAGTCTGATGATGTCATTTCGAAATGAACTGTTACCAAATATACAGTTATGTATTGAATATAATTTCAGTTACGGTGGTCCATTATTCTCAATTAGCTCATTCTCCTTATCTTCATAACTCCGAAATCTTCCAAAAACCATCAGTATACGTTTCCTAAGCTACTCATCAACCCTTTTTCCTTTAACCCATTACACCAAAAACGAAAGCGGCACCGTTTGTTTTTTTCAGTAAAAAGAACTGCGATGGATTAGGGACACAAAAGCCCTTGATGACTCGCGTAGAGTGAAACGAGATAATTTAAAGACAAGGATCAACATCAACAACAACAAAAACAGCACACACAACTTGGGTAAACTAGACTTTCAGATGATACTTCTGTAATGAGGAAGAATAAGGGGTGTCATTTTAGGAATTATCGTCGGACAGAGTTCATGGATTTCTCGAGGAGAATCGCATGGAATACGATAAAGTGGCAAAGTTAAAAATTAGTCAACTCAAGAGTAAACAAAAAGCACGATTTGTGATATCAGCTGATTTCGAAACAGGATTTTTGTTATTTTTTTACCTATGACAAAGAAAGGAGGGTAAGACATTTTTTGTACTTTTTTTTAGTTACCGTATGTATTCTGGTGTGATGGTGTATAATTATTAGTACTCACACACAATAATACTTCTGTGATATTTTTGGATCGGCGTACAGACTCATTAAAGAAAAGAGAAGAACGAATAAATGAACAACAAATCCAGTTACATAATGTAGTTTTGAAACGGCACTTTTTTCATTTTCTACATAAGTTTATCATTTCCTCAGAGTTTTGATTTCCTGTAGGATTTGATACCGACCCAATTTTGTGAAAGTGTGGAAAAGAGCAATTATTTCAACTAATTTGACTCACAAGGTGGTGGATAACAACCCGGACTAAAGTTTGTACTGGCATAACATTTGAATAAAGCTTTGTAAGGGGCTAAACTTTAGAGTGTCAAAATTCAAGTAATTCATCAGTAAACCGGTCAAGTTTCAGATTATTTGATCAACTTTGAGCTCAGTTATCACTTGTCAAAGTTGTTTAATCTCATTAAACTCACAACGGCGGGCAAGAAAGAATACGTCGCTCATTTTTGGACAATCATAACGATACATAGACTTGAGGAATCGCTTTGAAAATTTCAGTAGCTTTGAATCAAACGTAACATTATATTTCTACAAATTTTCGTGCTTCCAAAACACTTATCTCTAAAGATGTACCCGTTTTTATCAGTCAAGGTAATCTCCTGCCTTCATTTTAGGTAGGTCTAGGTTTTTTCAAGAGACGGAGAGTTACAGATTCCACTCTTTTTGTACTACTACGTCTTCTTTAATGTTCAAGGTTTCTTCAAATGGTTTCTAGCAAGTATTCATTCTGTTCTTATCTTCATTGTGAAGAAAAAACATCTCAAAGCTCCACAAAATTTTTACCGTAAAACTGTAATAAACCTGTACTTAACCTTCAACTTTGAACCAAATTACCTCGGATCTCGTCAAAAGTATACAAGATTTGTCAACTGTTAAACTGCTCATCATAACATCATAAACATTTTATCAGTTGACAGAGTTTTGATATCTTGCACAGGAGCCAAGATAAATTAGCTGTAACTTGATAGTGTGTAGGACCTTCTATATTACAGGTTTAGTTAATTTACAGCATGCTTTTCAAGTCAATTGAAGCTTCCGGGATTCATAACTTCCCCTCATACAAAAATTTACCTAGAAACTACTCTCTCATTCTTCAAAAATCTTCTTTCCCAGTCTGATTCCATCGCTAGTGATGGTACTCCGGAAGTTCGTTTCTCTTTTCTTCTTCTTCTCTCCTTACATATTCTCCCATCCGACATCATCCAATTTCTATCGTTGTTCCTATTCCTATTTTTTTTGTTCATTACTCATCTCCTTCTTTTATTTTTTGTCAGAACTTCTTCAGCTGAAGACGAATATAAGTCTCCAGATGATGTAGAACAAAAACCGACAGGGAGGGCGAAACAAAAGTGGGTTCGGATGTCGACGGAGCAATAAACTTGAGCTCAAATCGTTTGGCGGGGCGGCAAGAAACAATATAGAGCAAGAGACATACGGGAATGCGTTATTTTATGTTCTGTGAGAGCACAGGAAGTTAGGAACATGTTCTTTTTGTTTGAAAAAAGAACATAGTTATTGTTTTATGGGGGTGAAGTTTGTAAAGTAGAATAGAGGGATCGATGTTGTCTTGAATGAAGCTCAACTAGAAATTTGAGCACATGAAGTTAGCTCAAATTAACAAGGCGTTCTACTCGACTAAGTTGAGGTGCAAAATCTATAATATACAAGAATCATGAGAAAAAAGAAAACGAGAACGGTTTTGATTCAAAAACAGGATTCAAATTCTGAATCTGAAACGGAAATTTCGGAACTTTATAATTTGCATAAAGTATTTGAACAAAATCATGACCATTTAAAGTTTGAACAAATCAAATCGGAAACTAATTGGCATTAATTTATTGAAGGTTCGGTGTTGGAATCTTTGAAACCTTGGCTTACAAAAAAGAGTAACTTTTAGCTGATAACTTTTGTGAGTAAAATAATTACCGTAACACCTGTAATAGAACAACTCCATAACTTTTAACTTTGACCTCAAATATATCGATTCCTGCGAAAGATATCAACAATGTGATTATCACAAACATTATATCAGTTAGCACATTTTTGTTATCTTCTATTGGAGTCAAAAAAAATTAGCTTATCTTGACGCCCTTCTATTACAGGTTTTATGGTTTTTGCAAACGGTATTTTCTGGGAAATCCAAAATTCCTTTACAGTAATTCAAACAACTACTGAATTGTCCAAAAATTAAGAAACTAAAACTATAAAATGAAATGGGAATATCGTCGATTGTGTCTACTTGTTGCACCTAAAACTAAAGCTGATTTGATGAATAATTCAAGAAAAAAAGAAGGGCGGAGAATAAAGAGCCATATTGTGATGAGCTGGAGACGCAGAGCACTTGAGAATTGGATAATACAAAGAGTCCTAGAAGAGAATGATGAAAAAGAAGTTATGAGAAAAAATATGAAGAAGAACCTGGAAAAAATTGCGAACGAAGAACATGATGTTGTCGTTTTTCTCACATTTTCACGCCATATTTTTTCAAGTTCTCTCACACTCAAAACACCATAAAAATTGGCATAATTTGGTCCAGATGTCATGATGTCTCGTGTGAAGAAGGAGTAAGAAGAGGAGAGTTTGGATAACAAGAAAATGGAACCCTTCGGGGAGAATGATGATGGATACATCCCCACATGATGAATAATTTTTGGGACATACGCGCGGGTCTTTAACGGAGAATAAGAAGTAGAAGAAGATGAAAGATAACGGAAACTATGTGTGAAAGGAGAAAGAAAAAAAGAAAAGGATCTTTAAGAGAGGATAAATGGAAATTTTGTAGAGAATTAGGCAGATAAGTCAAAGGAATACTAGGCAGAGGATCATACAATTTGTTGAAGGAAACTCTTTGAAACATGATTTGTTCTCAGTAAGTATGCACTTGGTTAGATCTCATTAAATTGTGAATTAATTGACGATCATTTTAGAGAAAATTTTGCTGGAAAAAAGAAAAGCGCGTCGAATTCAAGGTCTCCTCAATAGAAGGGCCATCCGGAAGTTCTTCGGAAAATAGAACAATCAGGTTTACGGTAGTTGAAAATTACTGATTGTGAATTTTCAATGTTTTGAATTTTTGGGGATTTCAAAAAATAATTTTTTGGAGAATGGAGACCCTTAAATTGACCAACTCTTGCTCCCAGATTATTAGGTGTCATTCAGTTTGGTTCTCTAAAAGACAAGCAACTTAAAGGTGGGGGGACAGGAGATTTTACGGGGGATTTTCGGGGCCAGGGTATGTATTCTACCGTGACGGTGTACAACGCTTAAAGGAGGCGAGACAGCAAAAATTTCGGGGGCAGTTCGGGGGACGAAATCGCGCCGCGCTTATGTAGACCATCGGTCGTCAGGCGCCTTCGCGCCCCCGTAGCTCAGCCGGTAGCGGCGCTGTACCCCTGAGCTGCCTGTCATGAATTCAACCCCTCATGGGGGTTCTCTATGCAAAATATCAGGAAAAATTTTTTTTGGTGTCTGGCCTCCTTTAATCACTCTGCGTACAGGTGTCGTCCGCGCCTTTATGTAGGCAATCTGGATGCCGCCTTTTCTTTGCCCGCTTAGCTCAGTCGGTAGCGGCGCCGCACCCTCATTCCTCGGCCCCACAAGTTCAACATACGCATAATGGATGGGCGACGGAGGACGCGCCGATGAATT